AGGAATTAGCATAACAATGATGTACTGCACCGGCACGGTGTGGGGTGGGGGGAGTTTACAAAATGTTGATGTGAAGGCAAATAAGCTGCTGTGAAAGTTTGGAATACCACTACTTGAATAAATATACTGTACCATTGAAACAGTATATGATGTACTGGACCGTGCCGGTGCAGTACATCATTGTTATGCTAATTCCTTTGTCAAGGCGTTTTTTATTGTTTCCTCCCACACAGCTTAACGGACGCGACCTGGGCTTGGCTGTCTTCACTCCAACGCTGTCCTCTGGACAGTCCGGTCCCTTCACCTGATGAAGGCCACTTGATTTTTTGTTACTTTATATTTTTTAACCTACGTGACTTTACGAGAATAGAGCCAAAGAGTATTTAGCGAGTGTCCATGTTGGTGTGTATGTTGAACTTCTTTCACACCGTACAGAGCCAACCATGCTCATCGGAGGTGCGGGGGGAAGGACGACAAGCAAATTAAATAAATTTTATTTTCAATCTAGATTTTAAAAATGCGTAGCTCCCAGTGACTTCCTAAAATCGGAAGAAAGAACATTCCAGGCGGCTGCAGAAGTGCATCTGTAAGCGTGCGATGCAGAGACCGTCTTTATTCCATGACTAGCAAAAAGCTGCTGCGATGTTGACCAGAGTTTGCGTGATGGTTTATGCTCTTTGATGATGTCGGCAAGGTATTGGGGTTGATTTGTGGCAACCTTATAATGTATGAGTTAGGCAACAGGAAACCAAAGAATGTTGTACACGCTGCAGCTTGGTAATGGGTTTTTTTTTGCCAGATGTGCTGGAGAGTAGTGAGTCGGTAAAATCGAGTCCTAACCCAAACCCTAACCCGAAAACCTCAACCCTAACCCCTAACCACCCTCACCCTTAGTCATATTATTAGCTCTTTCAGTAAAGTCACACCTGATGACGACCGTTTGTGTTATGGTCGAAACGTCGTGAGATTTTTTATTTTTTATATATATATTTTATTGTTTCCCTTCAACGTGACTTTACCGAAAGAGCAAAGAATATGAATTACTGCAGTCACGAAAGCTTTAAATAAAAAAAATTCACCCTCACCCTATCCCTAACGCTTTAGTTCAAAGTTGAACTTAACAAGATGTCGACCCCCCCCCCCCCCGCCGTTCCCGGAAGTGACGTTTCCCGGTCACGACCCAGTAGCCTCATCCGTAAATGACGTCATTTTAAGGCGTCCCTTTTGCCTGTTCCCGCCAAAACGCTCTGCTCACCACGCACACTCACCACACTCACCACCCTCACCACCCTCACCATCCTCACCACACTTTCACCACCCTCGCCACCCACACCCATCAACATGTCGGCGCGTGTCAAGAGGAGCGCGCGAGAGACGGTGAGTGCATATGCCTAGCAACCACTCTTAACCATTCACACCTCTCATACTTAGCACTCATCCACTCACACTGACACACTCGCCACTCTCTCCCGCCACACTCACCGCTCTCACCACTCAATCACCACTCTCACTCATCACTCTTAACTCGGTAGTCAACGCACACTCTCCCTCACAACTCACACACTCTCCCTCACCACTCACACACTCTCCCTCACAACTCACACACTCTCCCTCACCACTCAAGCTCACTCACCCATCTCACCACTCTCACTCATCACTGACACTGATCGCTCTTGCCACTGTCACACTAACCACTCTCACCACTCGCACTCTCACCACTCTCACCACTCGGACATCACACTCACCCACCAATCACTCACCCACCAATCACTCACCCACCAATCACTCACCCATCTAACTACTCTCACACTCTCACCCCCTCACCACTCGCACTCACCACTCGCACACTCACCACTCTCACCACTCGGACATCACACTCACCCACCAATCACTCACCCACCAATCACTCACCCACCAATCACTCACCCATCTAACTACTCTCACCCCCTCACCACTCACACTCACCACTCTCACCACTCGGACATCACACTCACCCACCAATCACTCACCCACCAATCACTCACCCATCTAACTACTCTCACACTCTCCACTCTCACCCCCTCACCACTCACCACTCTCACTACTCGAACACTCACCACTCTCACCACTCGGACATCACAGTCACCCACCAATCACTCACCCACCAATCACTCACCCATCTAACTACTCTCCACTCTCACCCCCTCACCACTCACACTCACCACTCTCACCACTCACACTCACCACTCTCACCACTCGGACATCACACTCACCCACCAATCACTCACCCATCTAACTACTCTCACACTCTCACCCCCTCAACACTCACACTCACCACTCTCACCACTCGCACTCACCACTCTCACCACTCGGACATCACACTCACCCACCAATCACTCACCCACCAATCACTCACCCATCTAACTACTCTCACACTCCCCACTCTCACCCCCTCACCACTCACCACTCTCACTACTCGCACTCACCACTCTCACCACACGGACATCACACTCACCCACCAATCACTCACCCATCTAACTACTCACACACTCTCACCCCCTCACCACTCACACTCACCACCACTCCCCGCCATTCGCCATTAAGGGACGATCACGTCATCACGGCGTCTGTGCCAGGCTGTGTGCACTTTGAGGCCACGTCAAGTGTCGAAGGCTCGCTGACGGAACAGACCCAGCAGGTGCCATGGGTTCATGGCAGCTGCATCAGCTGTACCCCCTACTGTGCCAACTTGCTGCGTTTTAGCCCCCCGGCGCTCCGCTCGTTGTTGTGAGCGTCGCTCCTCTGGAGGGCGACTGCCTCCCAGCAGCGTCCTTCGCGAGCCTCCTCCATAGACGCCGATCCTGACACCGCTGGTACCAGTCATCGGCAAGCCCACTAAGCTCCACATCCTCCCGTACCGCATCAGTCCATCTCTTATCCAGCCTATGTCGTGGCCGTTTAGCCCCCTGAATTCGGCCGAACAGAAGCTGCTTGGGCATGGCATGGTTGGGCATGTGGGCTACATGACCCAGCCAACGCAGCCTTGCCTGCCGGAGGAGCTCACTGATGGGAATGTGTCCAGATCTTTCAAGGATTTGTGAGCTCCTCACACAATTCAGCCTGGTTAAACCCAGGATGGATCGTATTCAGGCGAACCTGAATCGTTTTAACCAGCGCGCATATGTTCCGATTAGAGGGGTCATCGTTTCACAAGCATCGAGAAGGGAGGGGATGATTGGCCGAAAAGATCCGAAGCTTCGTGTGGCGCGACAGACCCAGGTAGTTTCTACACAGCATTGCGCACAGCATTGCACAGCTGGTGAAAAGACAATGCCGCCCTTCTGATTCGTAGTGAGACCTCTGCAGTCAAACCGGAGCTGGTCATAAGCACAATGCCCAGGTATAAAAACTCTCAAATATCTCCACAACTGCTCCATGACCAATGGGGAGCTGAGGGGGTGGAGTGTTTGATGGCACAAAATACCATGGCAGGTGCTTAATTTTGGCGGGGCTGATGAAAGACCCCACCTCTTAGTGGCACATTCCAGGGTCAGTCGCAGCATCTCCAACTCCTCCTTTGAGTGAGCAGCAATCACCAGATCATCATCATACATAACATGGTTGACCAATAGGGAGCCATCCTTCGACCACACCCGGGCATCGATCAGCCTCCCATTGTATCTGTACGAGCTGGAAATTACTCTGGTACAGCCATGGAAAGTTTCTGGAACTACGTAGTCAAAGATGATGTTAAATAATTTGGGAGCCAGAGGACATCCCTGTCGCACGCCAAGGTGAACAGGGAATGGCTCTTGACTCCTGGCCACATACTCTTACCTGGGCCTGCTCACCATCATGAAGGACCTTAATGATTGTGAGCAGAGAGTCAGGAACTCCGAAAGCACGAACAACAGTCCTGGCCTCTTGATGGTATCATAGACCTTGGCCAGGTCAATAAAGCAGACATATAGGTCCTGTTAGAATTCCTTACACCTCTGCTGTAGCAGACAGAGTATGGCATCCATGCAGGGACCGCCCTGGTCTGAAACCAAATTGGGGCTCCACAAGCCTCTCCTCAGCGTGCCTGGCAAGGGGATGTTGAATAATCCTTACTACGACCTTTCCCGGGACACTTAGGAGAGAGATGCCCCTGTAGTTGTTACAGTCTGTGCGGTCCCCCTTCTTAAAGAGGGGGACCACCAGGGCATCCTTTCAATCCTGCGGCACCCGTCCAGTGGTACGGACAGTTGTGATGATGTTTTATTGGCCAGTCTGCACACAGACGCCATCCTCCCTCAGCATTTCACTTTGGGGATCATCTCACCCCGAGTACTTCCTCCACAGATGGCACCTGAGGGGTGGCTACTTCACTCCAACCAATCACCCACTAACACCACCCAGCCGCTCACTCACTCATCATACTCATTCACTCACGCACACTCACCACCCACCCACTCACCCATCACTCGCACTACTCTCATACTCACCACTTACCCGCTCACTCACCCATCACACTCAGCCATCACACTCACCTACGCACACTTACCACCCACTCTCACCATCCACCCACTCACTCACCACTAACTCTCACCACTCTGCCATCGCTCACCCACTCACACTACCCACCCACACGCTCACCCACTCATACTCACTACTCACACTCATGCACCACTCTCACCAATCACCCTCACAACTCACCCATTTACACTCACCAAAAGATAAAGACACTCAGCAACCCACCGACTCACTGACCAACCCACCTACTCGCCCACCCACCGACCCACCACCCGATCACTCACCCACTTACCCACCCACTCACTCACGACCCACCCACTTATCCACCAACCTACCCAACGACCCACCACCCGACCACTCGCCCACTTATCCTGCCACCCAACCAACCCACTTCCCCACTCACCAACTCACCCACCCACGGACTCACCACCCGCTCACTCACCACCCACTCACCACCCACTCACCACCCACTCACTCACCCATTACTCTCACTACTATTTCTGGTGATGCAGAAATCCAGTGGGAAACGCGCCCGGATCGAAGTCCCCACCACGACCACCTCCTCCACCACCTCCTCCACCACCTCCTCAGGTCAGGGGCACAACAAAGAGGAGGTGGAGGAGTTGGAGGTGGCGGCGGCGCTGCTCCCCGCGGTCTCGGCTCTCTACGGGGGACTCCCTGCACCACGAGACCTCCTGGAGCTGTGGAGCCTCTGCCTGCAGCTCGCTCCACACACCCCACTCGGTGACTCCTCACCCTCACTCACCCCCTCACTCACCCCCTCACTCACCCCCTCACTCACCCCCTCACTCACCCCCTCACTCACACCCTCACTCACACCCTCACTCACCCCCTCACTCACACCCTCACTCACACCCTCACTCACACCCTCACTCACCCCCTCACTCACACCCTCACTCACCCCCTCACTCACCCCCTCACTCACACCCTCACTCACCCCTCACTCACCCCCTCACTCACCCCCTCACTCACCCCTCACTCACCCCCTCACTCACCCCCTCACTCGCACCCTTACTCACACCCTCACTCACCCCCTCACTCACCCCCTCACTCACACCCTCACTCGCACCCTCACTCAACCCCTCACTCACCCCCTCACTCACACCCTCACTCGCACCCTCACTCACCCCCTCACTCACCCCCTCACTCACACCCTCACTCACCCCCTCACTCACACCCTTACTCACCCCCTCACTCACACCCTCACTCACCCCCTCACTCACCCCCTCACTCACACCCTCACTCACCCCCTCACTCACCCCCTCACTCACCCCCTCACTCGCACCCTTACTCACACCCTCACTCACCCCCTCACTCACACCCTCACTCACACCCTCACTCACCCCTCACCCAACCCCTCACTCACACCCTCACTCACCCCCTCACTCACACCCTCACTCACACCCTCACTCACCCCTCACCCAACCCCTCACTCACACCCTCACTCACCCCCTCACTCACCCCCTCACTCACACCCTCACTCACACCCTCACTCACCCCTCACCCAACCCCTCACTCACACCCTCACTCACACCCTCACTCACCCCCTCACTCACCCCTCACTCACCCCCTCACTCGCACCCTTACTCACACCCTCACTCACCCCCTCACTCACACCCTCACTCACCCCCTCACTCACCCCCTCACTCACCCCCTCACTCACCCCTCACTCACCCCCTCACTCACCCCCTCACTCACCCCCTCACTCACCCCCTCACTCACACCCTCACTCACACCCTCACTCACACCCTTACTCACACCCTCACTCACCCCCTCACTCGCACCCTCACTCACCCCCTCACTCGCACCCTCACTCACCCCCTCACTCACCCCCTCACTCACCCCCTCACTCACACCCTCACTCACACCCTCACTCACACCCTTACTCACACCCTCACTCACCCCCTCACTCGCACCCTCACTCACCCCCTCACTCGCACCCTCACTCACCCCCTCACTCACCCCCTCACTCACCCCCTCACTCACACCCTCACTCACACCCCTCACTCACACCCTCACTCACACCCTCACTCACACCCCTCACTCACCCCCTCACTCACACCCTCACTCACACCCCTCACTCACACCCTCACTCAACCCCTCACTCGCACCCTTACTCACACCCTCACTCACACCCTTACTCACACCCTCACTCACACCCTCACTCACCCCCTCACTCACACCCTTACTCACACCCTCACTCACCCCCTCACTCACCCCCTCACTCACACCCTCACTCACCCCTCACTCACCCCCTCACTCGCACCCTTACTCACACCCTCACTCACCCCCTCACTCACACCCTCACTCACCCCCTCACTCACACCCTCACTCACACCCTCACTCACCCCCTCACTCACACCCTCACTCAACCCCTCACTCACCCCCTCACTCACACCCTCACTCACACCCCTCACTCAACCCCTCACTCGCACCCTTACTCACACCCTCACTCACCCCCTCACTCACACCCTTACTCACACCCTCACTCACCCCCTCACTCACCCCCTCACTCACCCCCTCACTCACCCCCTCACTCACACCCTCACTCACACCCTCACTCGCACCCTTACTCACACCCTCACTCACCCCCTCACTCACACCCTCACTCACCCCTCACTCACCCCCTCACTCACCCCCTCACTCACCCCCTCACTCACACCCTCACTCACCCCCTCACTCACCCCCTCACTCACACCCTCACTCACCCCCTCACTCACACCCTCACTCACACCCTCACTCGCCCCCTCACTCGCACCCTTACTCACACCCTTACTCACACCCTCACTCTCACCCTCACTCGCACCCTTACTCACACCCTCACTCACCCCCTCACTCACCCCCTCACTCACCCCTCACTCAACCCCTCACTCACACCCTCACTCACCCCTCACTCAACCCCTCACTCACCCCTCACTCACCCCTTACTCACACCCTCACTCGCACCCTTACTCACACCCTCACTCGCACCCTTACTCACACCCTCACTCACCCCCTCACTCACCCCCTCACTCGCACCCTCACTCACCCCTCACTCAACCCCTCACTCACACCATTCTCACACCCTGACCCACTCACTCACCCTTGCACTCACCCCCTCCCCATGTGTCACCCCGCATCTCACTGTTTCACTCCGTGTCTCCCTGTGTCTCCCTCTGCGTGTTTCTCTGTATTTCTCCCTCCCCCAGCGCGTCTCCCTCCCCCAGCGTGTCTCTCCCCCCCTCGTGTCTCCCCCTGTGTGTCTTACTCCCCCTTCGTGTCTCGCTTCCCCCGTGTGTCTCGCTCCCCCTGCGTGTCTCCCCCTCCCCTTCGTGTCTCCCTCCTCCTGTGTGTCTCCCTCTCTCTGCATGCCTCCCTCTGTGTGTCTCGCTCCATTTGTGTGTCTCCCTCCCCCTGCGTGTCTCCCAAGATGCCATGGCCCCGCTGGGCCTGCACCTGGTCGGACCGTTTGAGGTGTTGGCCGGGAAGCACCTTGGGGGGGCCCTTAGCGGCCCCCCCCCCACAGCTGCTGCACCTCCACTGGAGGTACTGGTACGACCCGCCGGAGCTCCAGACGGTGGCACGCGGGGACTCGGACTCACAGACTCACCTGGGGTACTACCGGTGAGGAGCGACAGAGACTCATCAGCTCACTCACTCAGAGAGAGACTCACCAACTCACTCACTCAGAGAGAGACTCACCAACTCACTCACTCGGAGAGAGATTCACCAACTCACTCACTCAGAGAGAGACTCACCAACTCACTCACTCGGAGAGTGACTCACCAACTCACTCACTCGGAGAGAGACTCACCAACTCACTCAGAGAGAGACTCACCAACTCACTCACTCGGAGAGAGACTCACCAACTCACTCACTCGGAGAGAGACTCACCAACTCACTCACTCAGAGATAGACTCACCGGCTCACTCACTCAGCGAGAGACTCACCAACTCACTCAGAGAGAGACTCACCAACTCATTAGGAGAGAGACTCACTAACTCACTCACTCGGAGAGAGACTCACCAACTCACTCCCTCAGAGAGAGACTCACCAACTCACTCAGAGAGAGAGTCACCAACCCACTCACTCAGAGAGAGACTCACCAACTCACTCAGAGAGAGACTCACCAACTCACTCACTCAGAAAGAGACTCACCAACTCACTCAGAGAGAGACTCACCAACTCACTCACTCAGAGAGAGACTCACCAACTCACTCAGAGAGAGACTCACCAACTCACTCACTCAGAGATAGACTCACCGGCTCACTCACTCAGCGAGAGACTCACCAACTCACTCAGAGAGAGACTCACCAACTCACTCGGAGAGAGACTCACTAACTCACTCACTCGGAGAGAGACTCACCAACTCACTCCCTCAGAGAGAGACTCACCAACTCACTCAGAGAGGGAGTCACCAACCCACTCACTCAGAGAGAGACTCACCAACTCACTCAGAGAGAGACTCACCAACTCACTCACTCAGAAAGAGACTCACCAACTCACTCAGAGAGAGACTCACCAACTCACTCACTCAGAGAGCGACTCACCAACTCACTCACTCAGAGAGAGACTCACCGGCTCACTCACTCAGAGAGAGACTCACCAACTCACTCGGAGAGAGACTCACCAACTCACTCACTCAGAGAGAGACTCACCAACTCACTCACTCAGAGAGAGACTCACCAACTCACTCACTCACTCACAGCGAGACTCACCAACTCACTCAGAGAGAGACTCACCAACTCACTCACTCAGAGAGACTCACCAACTCACTCAGAGAGAGACTCACCGACTCACTCAGAGGCCCACTCACCCTCTCACTGTGTGTGTCTGTAACTGTGTGTTCATGTCTTTTATTTATTTTGGTAAGCGGGGAATGGGGGCTTTAGCGGTTAGCTCACTGCGCTACAAACCCGGTGACCAGAGTTAAATTCCCGCCAAGTGCCAACACCAGTGACGAATATATCTGAACTGGTCCTGGGCCTCCGCTAGGTCGACTCATCCTCAAATGAGTACCTGGTGTGATGTGTAAACATCACCATGCCCGCCGGGCTGGCATGGTGCTGGCCACGCCACCCCATCATGTGCCACAGTGCCGGACTTCATAGATGCTACTCGCTATAACAGCACTTGAACCTACAGTCTGGTAAGGCTACACGGGGAATCTTTGTCTTGAAGGTGTGTGTGTGTTACATGTGCTGCTGCTGCTACTCACCCCAAAAGTTTGTTCTATTATTTTAAAAAATGTATTATTCAAGAACACAGCTCATGAACATGTAACATTTTGGGGCAACCCCCCCCACCCAAAAAGAGGGGGCCTGCTGGAGTCCATCCCCTCTCTCCGGCTCCCCTCTATGCGACAATTTATTGCTGAGCTCACCAAAAACGGAGACCACGCAGCCTGATTTCTCCTCCAACTCCTCTTTCCCTTGAAGTGTGTGGCTAAGGTGCTCCATTCCCACCAAGGCAAGCACAGTTCTCTGCCAGTCCCCGAGAAAGGGGGTTCTTAATCTTTTCAATTTGCCAGGATAGTTTTCCTTGCTACAGCATAAGTTGTTTGGAGTGGTGTGTGCTGGTGCTCTTGTCACTCCTCTTGGCTTCAAGCCCCACAGGGTTGAGTCTGCTGAGGGGCTCAATTTCTGTGCCACAAATCTGGTTAGAATCGTCCGTTAGGTGGGCTGTATGTCTGTACCATGCCTTGCGTGCGCCTCGGGCAATCTGGGGAGGAGTTGGTAAATTTGGCCCTCCTGTTGTGCGGGTAGGTCCAAATGCGGGAACTTGAACTGAATGACTTTCAGCGGCAGAGACTTGGGACCCACTGCCTTGTCTGAGTCCATTTCTGTTGAGGAATGTCCTGTCCCAGCAGCTTTTGCCCACAGCTTTCTAGTTTTGGGTCTTATCCGGTCACTCTCCCCATCGATTAGGTGGTATGCCTCTGCCAATCTCTATTTTTTTTTAAACCCCTTGGCCAATTTAAAATAGAATGGGCAACAAGGCCATATGGCTGACGTAGATGCAGAGCAACAACTACAATTTCACATTCAGGTGCTCAAGCCGGATAACCGCGTCAGGAGCAGCGGAGTTGTATCGCCGTGATGTCTTCTTCTTCTTGGTCGTGTTTGTGGGTCACGAGATACTCGCATTTCATCGGGGAGAGTCCCTCAATGTTCAGTTGGGGGATCCTTGCCCTTTGAACAGGGCCGTTGTTGCTCTGGAGACCGGGAGAACGATGATCGATGTTCGGTCGCCGCGTTGCCGGCATTTGTCTTGATTTCTCACTTAGCAGACTGGGGCACATGAAGGTGGCCATCTTCCACTCCGAAGCTTTAGTAATAGCATCCCTGATCTGCAGGTGTCTAAAAAAGTGCGTCCCCGGGATATTGTAATGTGCCCACACCTGTGAAAGTGACTTCACTTTCCCTTCCTTGGTTAGGAAGTCCCCACTATGTCTAGGCTGCTTTCCAGCTGGGCCAGGTAACCCCTGCGCCCTCTATTTTTAGTGCAGGGTTGCCCCATTCAGGAGATTGTCGATGTAGAATGGAGGGGAAGGAGATTTTCCTGTCCCTGCGTATCCTCAAGGTGCTAGAAACCGTCCATAGTGGTTTGAGGCCCCGGGAATCCATCCTTGGAAGGAGCAAAGGTGATTCTGGCAAGTGGCCAGGGGCTATATGGGGGGCATCTTTGTCTTTCTAGAGACAACTCTTGGGAGCTGCCTGTGTTTGTCTGTATCTGTGCGTCTGTGTCTGACTGTGTGTAGAGACAGCCCTGGGGAGCTGCCTGTGTTTGTTGGAGAGAACGTGGCAAACCGTGGCTGTACGATCACCCCCCTAGGAGACAACATCTTCGCTGCTCTCAAGTAACTTTCATTTTCTAAAACTAAACTATTTAAAATGTTTCCAGGTACGGCTCACTGAGCTGTAAGCTCTGTCAGAAGCAGCCTGGCCACACGTAATGAAAGCTAAACGAAGTGACTGATAGCTAAACGAAGTGGCTGATATCATCATCTTTCCTCTTTGGTTCTTTCGGTAAAGTGATGTAGGTATAAAATAAAATAAATCACGACGTTTCGGGCGCAACACAAGCATCTTTCCCACCTGATGACGGACGCTTGTGTTGCGCCCGAAACGTCGTGATTTATTTGATTTTTCTACCTACGTGACTTTACCGAAAGAACCAAAGAGTATGGATTCCTGCAGTCACGAAAGCTTCAAATCATAGCATCATCTTGTAGGAATTTAAAACAGACAAATACTCTAAACTCGTATAGATGCACAGGGACCTGTAGAGACCTGTAGAGACCTGTAGAAACCTGTAAAGACACAGTGATACATGGAGACACATAAAGACTCATAGATACCTAGAGACCCATAGAAACTAAAACTAAACTATAACTATTTTATTTACCAGTTAAAGCCCACTGAGCTATGTAGCTCTTTTTCACAGGTGACTTGGCCACATGTAATGATAGCCCAACGAAGTGGCTTATCATCATCATCATCATGTGCGAATTTATAGCATCAGCCAAATACTCTAAAAGCGTGATGTTGATTCTAAATTTGGAGGGAAAAACTGGAGGACACGGAGCACAATCCACGCGACCACCACGGGGAGAGAGACAGAGATGCAGAATCCAAATATATAACAGGCATCATCAGGATCGGGATCGAACCCAAGACCTCCTGTATACCGGGCGAGGGAGATCTCCGAGCTACATTCATTAACAGGCGTCCCCACTTTTTGTTTGGACACAACCCCCGTCCTAAATCAGAATCTTTATTTATATTGGAGGAAATCCGATGAGCTATGGAGCTCTTTGTCACAGATGTCTAGTAGAGGCGCAGTGTCAGAAAGCTACAACAACAACAAATAATACAAATAAAAAATAACGTTAGGAGTGCAAAGCATAGGAATGTTAAGCAAGTGACAATAAATAAACATAAATAAAACATGTAAGTTCAAATTGCCTTAGTGCATCAAATGCTGACCGATTTTTTCAACACTAAATGCAAGTTTGTGATAAGGCAGCAATACAACAGCAACAAAAGACGAATGTAAACTAACGTTCTATGACCCATCGCTGTGCAAATGCTCAAGAAACCGTATCCTATTATAATTGTATCCTTATTGATATAGCACCATCAATGGATAAGGTTATTATATCGTTGCAGTGTACAGTCGACCCTCCTGCATCGCGACTTTCCCCATTGCGGTTTTGATGTATCGCGGGATCAGCATAAGAAATTGAATGGACATTTTTTGGGAGTTTTGCGAAAGCCGCAGACGACACGCAAAAAGTTTTAGTAACTCAAATGCATAAAATATATGTACAGTTCTGCATAATATTAATGTATTTTATCGTTTAATACCATAAATATACGCAATTATTTTTAAAGTATAATTTTGTAAAAAGTTTAAGTTTGCAAAAAGAGCGCGAAAGCCATCAGACGACACGCAAAGGCTCACAGCGCCCCCCCCCCCCCTAAACCCCCCGGCAGGAGGTGCTCGCTCCACTCACCAAGGGGACCAAAACATTTTACGTGTTTTTTTCTAGATCGCGGGGGGCCTGCGCCCCTAACCCCCGCGATGTGGAAGGGTCGACTGTATTCATTATTTTGCTGTATCTTTTACCATTAAAATAATAGTAATTAATCCAATGTTCGTTATACTGAAACTCCATATGTCGATTATTCGCATATCGAGGTGTTACTGTCGAGACGTCGCTTGCAGGTGAGTATGTTTTTTTTACTTCTATCGGCCGGATTTCACAGGTTTTAATAGGTAGTTGGGTGATTGAGTGGGTGGGTGAGAGGCTAGATGAGCGAGTGGTGGTTAAGTGGGTGAGTGAGAGGCTGGATGTTAGAGTGGATGTGTGGGTGGCTGAGTGAGTGACTGAGTGGGTTGATGAGAGGCTTGGATGTGTGTGGGTGTGTCTGGCCAAGTAAGTGTCTGAGTGAGTGAGTAGTTGGGTGAGTGACTGAGTGGATGCCTGTGGTAATGTATGGCAGATGTGTGGCTGACCGAAAGATCCGCTCAGCCAAAAGTACCTCCAAATCTTCCTCTACCTCCTCCATCGCCTCCATCTCCTCTGTGCGTGACGCTCTCATCGCCACGGCAACCAGATTGGGGTTCTCCCTGGAGACAAAGTCACCGAGTATTGCAGCTCGGAACAAGAGGGTGAGACTCTACTACTCTCCATCACTTCTAACCACAACTACAATTTACTGTGTCTGATACTATATACACCACCCCTACTAGTCACCACCACTACTCACTCCCCAGCCCAATACCACCACTACTACTTACCACCACCTTAATCGTCATGTGGAGCGACAGGCCAGGTAGGTTCCACACAGGGGCACGCGGCCGATGAAAAGTTAATGCCCCTCAACTGATTCTGCTGTCAAACCAGAGCTGGTCACAAGCACACTGACCAGGTATGGAAACTTCTCCACTCTCTCCACAACTACCCCGCCAATAGGGAGTTGAGGAGTTGGAGTGTTTGATGACACAAAACAGTTTTGGGAGGGGCTGATATAAGGCTCCTATTACATGGTCGAAAAAGATGTTAAATAATGTAGGCACCAGTGGACATCCCTGTCGCACCCCAAGGTGAACAGGTAATGACTCTGACTCCTGGCCACATAGCTTTACCCGGGCCTGCCCACCATCATGAAGTTCCTTAATGATTGTGAGCAGAGTTAGGAACTCCGAAAGCACAAAGAACAATCCAGTGCTCAGGCCTATTGATGGTATCATAGGCCTTGATCAGGTCAATAAAGCAGAGATATAGGTTATGTTGGAATTCCTTACATCTCTGCTGTAGCAGACAGACATAAAGTATGGCGTCTGTGCAGGACCGCCATGGCCTTAAACCACATTGGGGCTCCACAGGCCTCTCCCCAGCGTGCCTGGCAAGGCGATGTTGAATAATCCTTGCCAGAACCTTTCCCGGCACACTGAGGAGTGAGATGCCCCTGTAGTATTTACAGTCTGTGCGGTCACCCTTCTGAAAGAGGGGGATCACCAGGGCATCCTTCCAATCCTGCGGAATCCGTCCAGTGGTCCATTCTGTTATTATGTCACATAGGGCAGTCTGTGCACAAACCCCACTCTCCTGCAGCAGTTCACTTGGAAGATCATCTCTGCCCAGTGCCTTTCCTAGTCTGAGACTCTGGATCGCCTTCCCTACTTCCTCAACAGGTGGCACTTCAGCCAGCCAACATTTGAGGCACCGCAGTCTCAGCAGGGTCATGCCCACTTTGCCCCATGATGTTTTCTAGGCTAAGGGATTTCTCCTCCCCCGAGACCTGACAGAAATGCTCAGAAAACCTGCAAATTTGTACCAGGGGGTCGAAGATTGGATCACCTCTCCCTAAGGATGATGAGAGCTGTGGTGCTGCAAGTTACTCTTGGGTAAAATTAAAGTAATTTCTGATCACGGGCTACTGAGGCAGACTCCATCTCCTCAGCAACCCGCGGTCACCAGTGATCTTTGCAGCACCACAAGGCTCACCCAACCTCTGAGCGAAGGCTGCGGTAAGCCTCATCATTCTCCGACGTGGGATGCTGTAGATGATGGGAGTGAGCATGTCACTTGTTCTCAGCCAGCCAGAACACCTCCATCAGCCAGGGTCTCTGGGGAGGTTTGGACCATGTACACAAAGCAGCCATTGCAGCTGCATGAGCCACAGTCCTAAACCTCGCCCATTTTTCCTCGGCATCAGTAGGAGGGAGGAACGATGCCAACCCCAGCTGCAAGCGATGATGAAATTCTCGCAACTTTCTTCAGCTAGCTGAGACCAGGCCACTATGGGTTTGAATTGGGTCCTAGATGGACACCCACCACCAGAGTCTAATAATAGCAGGCACATCTTACAGATGACAAGCCAATGGTCAGTAGGCACATTAGCTGCACGTTAGGTCCTGGTGTCAAGGATATGGGCCCACATTTGCTGTTCCATCACTATGTAGTCCAGCAAATGTTCTTGCTTGAACCTGCTGTGCATCCATGATGTGTGGATGTACAAATGCCGGAACAGGATTACTTTATCCAGAGGGGCCACTTCAGCTTGCACCTTTGACACGAGGTCATAGAAGGCAATCTGACTCATCGGCCTTGCCCTCATCCCTCCACTGATGTTCATCTTCGGTGGGGGCATAAAGCAACCACCACCATTGCTCGCCTCCTGTTGATGGGCAGGCGAGCTCACAGTATCCTGGGGCTTACAGCTTCCAACACCTCGCTGCCACGCTCCTAGAGCCCCCTTCATTATTTTGTTTAGAAGAAGATCCCACTCCCTGTTGTTTGGCAGTCTCCTGCCCCGAATAGAGGATTGTCCACCCCCCTCACAGGATGATTCGAGCCAGATCCAGTGCACCAGACCTGAATGCCACAGAGATCCAGGCGGTACCGGTCCAGCTCCCGAAAGAGGAGTGGCAGCTTCTCCTCAGCAGTGAGCGTTCAAATATTCCACGTGGCCACTCGCAGTGGTTTTTTTGCTGTTTCTGGAGGACCCGAGGGTACAGGTTCAGTCTCCTAGCTCTGCCAAATGGGGTTTGGCCAGGAGACGTCATAGACGCCCGACCCCCCCGGGGCCTCCGGCACGCGCTTAGTTCAATATTTTGCACGTGTATTCGTGGTAGTTAAATTGAAGGTGGAGGGGTTACGCATTCAGAGATCCCCAATTGACCGCTGTGGTGGCTGCGAGCTCCATGAGGGAAACAGCTGATTGGAATCGGCCTTCCCCCCCATGACATTGCTCACTACAGCTATACTGTCCGGCACCACCAAGGAGGTAGGGGGTTGTATTTACTGGACACCGCCACTGCAGCTACGTACACCACAACTCCTGCTATTTACTACTCGCCAACTACTTAGCACAAGCACTCTTGCCTGCTGCTCACCACCAGGTGGTGTCGCGCTTGTTTCATGGAGCTGGTATCGTGGTTCCGGTGGACGACAAAGACGTTGGATACAGAGATCTGCCTCACTCACCCGGTGACTCGCTACTTCTCACTACTACTCACTAGTGCTCACTACTACTCACTAGTGCTCACTACTACTCACTCGTACTCAGTTACAGAGATCTGCCTCACTCACCCGGTGACTCGCTACTTCTCACTACTACTCACTAGTGCTCACTACTACTCACTAGTGCTCACTACTACTCACTAGTGCTCACTACTACTCACTAGTACTCAGTTACAGAGAGCTGCCTCACCGGGTGACTCACTACTAGTACTCACTACTACTCACTAGTGCTCACTACTACTCACCAGTACTCACTACTACTCACTAGTGCTCACTACTACTCACTCGTACTCAGTTACAGAGAGCTGCCTCACCGGGTGACTCACTACTACTCACTACTACTCACTAGTGCTCACTACTACTCACTAGTGCTCACTACTACTCACTCGTACTCAGTTACAGAGATCTGCCTCACTCACCCGGTGACTCACTACTACTCACTACTAGTACTCACTAGTGCTCACTACTACTCACTAGTACTCACTACTACTCACTTGTACTCAGTTACAGAGAGCTGCCTCACTCACCCGGTGACTCGCTACTTCTCACTAATACTCACTAGTGCTCACTACTACTCACTAGTGCTCACTACTACTCACTCGTACTCAGTTACAGAGATCTGCCTCACTAACCCGGTGACTCGCTACTTCTCACTACTACTCACTAGTGCTCACTACTACTCACTAGTGCTCACTACTACTCACTCGTACTCAGTTACAGAGAGCTGCCTCACCGGGTGACTCGCTACTAGTACTCACTAGTCCACAACTACTCACAGTTAGAGCTGCCTCACTCACAAGGTGACTCACTACTTCTCACTACTACTCACTAGTGCTCACTACTACTCACTAGTACTCACTACTACTCACTTGTACTCAGTTACAGAGATCTGCCTCACTCACCCGGTGACTCGCTACTTCTCACTACTACTCACTAGTGCTCACTACTACTCACTAGTACTCACTACTACTCACTCGTACTCAGTTACAGAGATCTGCCTCACTCACCCGGTGACTCGCTACTTCTCACTACTACTCACTAGTGCTCACTACTACTCACTAGTGCTCACTACTACTCACTCGTACTCAGTTACAGAGAGCTGCCTCACCGGGTGACTCACTACTAGTACTCACTAGTGCTCACTACTACTCACAGTTAGAGCTGCCTCACTCACCCGGTGACTCGCTACTTCTCACTACTACTCACTAGTGCTCACTACTACTCACTAGTGCTCACTACTACTCACTCGTACTCAGTTACAGAGATCTGCCTCACTCACCCGGTGACTCGCTACTTCTCACTACTACTCACTAGTGCTCACTACTACTCACTAGTGCTCACTACTACTCACTCGTACTCAGTTACAGAGAGCTGCCTCACTCACCCGGTGACTCGCTACTTCTCACTACTACTCACTAGTGCTCACTACTACTCACTAGTGCTCACTACTACTCACTAGTGCTCACTACTACTCACTAGTACTCACTACTACTCACCAGTACTCACTACTACTCACTCGTACTCAGTTACAGAGATCTGCCTCACTCACCCGGTGACTCACTACTACTCACTACTAGTACTCACTAGTGCTCACTACTACTCACTAGTGCTCACTACTACTCACTCGTACTCAGTTACAGAGATCTGCCTCACTCACCCGGTGACTCGCTACTTCTCACTACTACTCACTAGTGCTCACTACTACTCACTAGTACTCACTACTACTCACTAGTGCTCACTACTACTCACTCGTACTCAGTTACAGAGAGCTGCCTCACTTACCGGGTGACTCACTACTAGTACTCACTAGTCCACAACTACTCACAGTTAGAGCTGCCTCACTCACCAGGTGACTCACTACTTCTCACTACTACTCACTAGTGCTCACTACTACTCACTAGTGCTCACTACTACTCACTCGTACTCAGTTACAGAGATCTGCCTCACTCACCCGGTGACTCACTACTTCTCACTAATACTCACTAGTGCTCACTACTACTCACCAGTACTCACTACTACTCACTCGTACTCAGTTACAGAGAGCTGCCTCACCGGGTGACTCGCTACTAGTACTCACTAGTCCACAACTACTCACAGTTAGAGCTGCCTCACTCACAAGGTGACTCACTACTTCTCACTACTACTCACTAGTGCTCACTACTACTCACTAGTGCTCACTACTACTCACTCATACTCAGTTACAGAGATCTGCCTCACTCACCCGGTGACTCGCTACTTCTCACTACTACTCACTAGTGCTCACTACTACTCACTAGTGCTCACTACTACTCACTCGTACTCAGTTACAGAGATCTGCCTCACTCACCCGGTGACTCACTACTACTCACTACTAGTACTCACTAGTGCTCACTACTACTCACAGTTAGAGCTGCCTCACTCACCAGGTGACTCACTACTTCTCACTACTACTCACTAGTGCTCACTACTACTCACCAGTACTCACTACTACTCACTCGTACTCAGTTACAGAGAGCTGCCTCACTCACCCGGTGACTCACTACTACTCACTACTAGTACTCACTAGTGCTCACTACTACTCACAGTTAGAGCTGCCTCACTCACCAGGTGACTCGCTACTACTCACTACTACTCACTAGTGCTCACTACTACTCACTAGTGCTCACTACTACTCACTCGTACTCAGTTACAGAGATCTGCCTCACTTACCGGGTGACTCACTACTACTCACTACTAGTACTCACTAGTGCTCACTACTACTCACAGTTAGAGCTGCCTCACTCACCAGGTGACTCACTACTACTCACTACTACTCACTAGTGCTCACTACTACTCACCAGTACTCACTACTACTCACTCGTACTCAGTTACAGAGAGCTGCCTCACTTACCGGGTGACTCACTACTACTCACTACTACTCACTAGTGCTCACTACTACTCACTAGTACTCACAACTACTCACTCGTACTCAGTTACAGAGAGCTGCCTCACTTACCGGGTGACTCACTACTAGTACTCACTAGTCCACAACTACTCACAGTTAGAGCTGCCTCACTCACCAGGTGACTCACTACTTCTCACTACTACTCACTAGTGCTCACTACTACTCACTAGTGCTCACTACTACTCACTCGTAGTTACAGAGAGCTGCCTCACTCACCCGGTGACTCACTACTTCTCACTAATACTCACTAGTGCTCACTACTACTCACCAGTACTCACTACTACTCACTCGTACTCAGTTACAGAGAGCTGCCTCACCGGGTGACTCGCTACTAGTACTCACTAGTCCACAACTACTCACAGTTAGAGCTGCCTCACTCACAAGGTGACTCACTACTTCTCACTACTACTCACTAGTGCTCACTACTACTCACTAGTACTCACTACTACTCACTCGTACTCAGTTACAGAGATCTGCCTCACTCACCCGGTGACTCATTACTTCTCACTACTACTCACTAGTCCACAACTACTCACAGTTAGAGCTGCCTCACTCACAAGGTGACTCACTACTTCTCACTACTACTCACTAGTGCTCACTACTACTCACCAGTACTCACTACTACTCACTCGTACTCAGTTACAGAGATCTGCCTCACTCACCCGGTGACTCACTACTACTCACTACTAGTACTCACTAGTGCTCACTACTACTCACTAGTACTCACTACTACTCACTCGTACTCAGTTACAGAGATCTGCCTCACTCACCCGGTGACTCACTACTACTCACTACTAGTACTCACTAGTGCTCACTACTACTCACAGTTAGAGCTGCCTCACTCACCAGGTGACTCGCTACTACTCACTACTACTACTCAGTAGTACTCACAATCAGAGAACTGCCTCACTCACCCGGTGAGTCACTACTACTCACTAGTCACACTCACTAATACTACTCACTACTACTCACAATCACTACTACTCACTATTCTCATTACTCACAGATGCATCACCGCTTCCTCACTCAATGGGTAGTGTCTGTGTCACACGTTGTGTGTGTGTGTGTTTTGCGGGGTTGCGCCATCTGTGTTACGCGGTGGTGCGCTGTGAGGACGACGCGATGGTGTGTGTGTTTGTGATGGTGTGTGTTACATGTGTGTCTGTGTGTCTGTGTGTGTGTTTGTGATGGTGTGTGTGTTACATGTGTGTCTGTGTGTGTGTTTGTGATGGTGTGTGTGTGTTACATGTGTGTCTGTGTGTCTGTGTGTGTGTTTGTGATGGTGTGTGTGTTACATGTGTGACAGTGTGTGTCTGTGTGTGTTTGTGATGGTGTGTTACATGTATGTGTGACAGTGTGTGTCTGTGTGTGTGTTTGTGATGGTGTGTGTTACATGTATGTGTGACAGTGTGTGTCTGTGTGTGTGTTTGTGATGGTGTGTTACATGTATGTGTGACAGTGTGTGTCTGTGTGCGTTTGTGATGGTGTGTTACATGTATGTGTGACAGTGTGTGTCTGTGTGTGTTTGTGATGGTGTGTTACATGTATGTGTGACAGTGTGTGTCTGTGTGTGTTTGTGATGGTGTGTTACATGTATGTGTGACAGTGTGTGTCTGTGTGTGTTTGTGATGGTGTGTGTGTTACATGTATGTGTGACAGTGTGTGTCTGTGTGTGTTTGTGATGGTGTGTTACATGTATGTGTGACAGTGTGTGTCTGTGTGTGTGTTTGTGATGGTGTGTGTGTTACATGTATGTGTGACAGTGTGTGTCTGTGTGTCTGTGTGTGTGTATTTGTGATGGTGTGTGTGTTACATGTATGTGTGACAGTGTGTGTCTGTGTGTGTTTGTGATGGTGTGTGTGTTACATGTATGTGTGACAGTGTGTGTCTGTGTGTGTTTGTGATGGTGTGTGTTACATGTATGTGTGACAGTGTGTGTCTGTGTGTCTGTGTGTGTGTTTGTGATGGTGTGTGTGTTACATGTATGTGTGACAGTGTGTGTCTGTGTGTGTGTTTGTGATGGTGTGTGTTACATGTATGTGTGACAGTGTGTGTCTGTGTGTGTGTTTGTGATGGTGTGTGTGTTACATGTATGTGTGACAGTGTGTGTCTGTGTGTGTGTTTGTGATGGTGTGTGTGTTACATGTATGTGTGACAGTGTGTGTCTGTGTGTGTTTGTGATGGTGTGTGTTACATGTATGTGTGACAGTGTGTGTCTGTGTTTGTGATGGTGTGTGTGTTACATGTATGTGTGACAGTGTGTGTCTGTGTGTGTGTTTGTGATGGTGTGTGTGTTACATGTATGTGTGACAGTGTGTGTCTGTGTGTGTTTGTGATGGTGTGTGTGTTACATGTATGTGTGACAGTGTGTGTCTGTGTGTGTTTGTGATGGTGTGTGTGTGTTACATGTATGTGTGACAGTGTGTGTCTGTGTGTGTTTGTGATGGTGTGTGTGTTACATGTATGTGTGACAGTGTGTGTCTGTGTGTGTTTTGTGATGGTGTGTGTGTTACATGTATGTGTGACAGTGTGTGTTTGTGATGGTGTGTATTACATGTATGTGTGACAGTGTGTGTCTGTGTGTGTGTGTGTGTATTTGTGATGGTGTGTGTGTTACATGTATGTGTGACAGTGTGTGTCTGTGTGTGTTTGTGATGGTGTGTGTTACATGTATGTGTGACAGTGTGTGTCTGTGTGTGTATTTGTGATGGTGTGTGTGTTACATGTATGTGTGACAGTGTGTGTCTGTGTGTGTTTGTGATGGTGTGGTGTTACATGTATGTGTGACAGTGTGTGTCTGTGTGTGTATTGTGATGGTGTGTGTGTTACATGTATGTGTGACAGTGTGTGTCTGTGTGTGTGTTTTGTGATGGTGTGTGTGTTACATGTATGTGTGACAGTGTGTGTCTGTGTGTGTTTGTGATGGTGTGTGTGTGTTACATGTATGTGTGACAGTGTGTGTCTGTGGTGTGTTTGTGATGGTGTGTGTGTTACATGTATGTGTGACAGTGTGTGTCTGTGTGTGTTTGTGATGGTGTGTGTGTTACATGTATGTGTGACAGTGTGTGTTTGTGATGGTGTGTGTTACATGTATGTGTGACAGTGTGTGTCTGTGTGTGTGTATTTGTGATGGTGTGTGTGTTACATGTATGTGTGACAGTGTGTGTCTGTGTGTGTTTGTGATGGTGTGTGTGTTACATGTATGTGTGACAGTGTGTGTCTGTGTGTGTTTGTGATGGTGTGTGTGTTACATGTATGTGTGACAGTGTGTGTCTGTGTGTGTTTGTGATGGTGTGTGTGTGTTACATGTATGTGTGACAGTGTGTGTCTGTGTGTGTTTGTGATGGTGTGTGTGTTACATGTATGTGTGACAGTGTGTGTCTGTGTGTGTTTGTGATGGTGTGTGTGTTACATGTATGTGTGACAGTGTGTGTTTGTGATGGTGTGTATTACATGTATGTGTGACAGTGTGTGTCTGTGTGTGTGTGTGTGTATTTGTGATGTGTGTGTGTTACATGTATGTGTGACAGTGTGTGTCTGTGTGTGTTTGTGATGTGTGTGTTACATGTATGTGTGACAGTGTGTGTCTGTGTGTGTATTTGTGATGGTGTGTGTGTTACATGTATGTGTGACAGTGTGTGTCTGTGTGTGTTTGTGATGGTGTGTGTTACATGTATGTGTGACAGTGTGTGTCTGTGTGTGTGTATTTGTGATGGTGTGTGTGTTACATGTATGTGTGACAGTGTGTGTCTGTGTGTGTGTTTGTGATGGTGTGTGTGTTACATGTATGTGTGACAGTGTGTGTCTGTGTGTGTTTGTGATGGTGTGTGTGTGTTACATGTATGTGTGACAGTGTGTGTCTGTGTGTGTTTGTGATGGTGTGTGTGTTACATGTATGTGTGACAGTGTGTGTCTGTGTGTGTTTGTGATGGTGTGTGTGTTACATGTATGTGTGACAGTGTGTGTTTGTGATGGTGTGTGTTACATGTATGTGTGACAGTGTGTGTCTGTGTGTCTGTGTGTGTGTATTTGTGATGGTGTGTGTGTTACATGTATGTGTGACAGTGTGTGTCTGTGTGTGTTTGTGATGGTGTGTGTGTTACATGTATGTGTGACAGTGTGTGTCTGTGTGTGTTTGTGATGGTGTGTGTGTTACATGTATGTGTGACAGTGTGTGTCTGTGTGTGTGTATTTGTGATGGTGTGTGTGTTACATGTATGTGTGACAGTGTGTGTCTGTGTGTGTTTGTGATGGTGTGTGTGTGTTACATGTATGTGTGACAGTGTGTGTCTGTGTGTTTGTGATGGTGTGTGTGTGTTACATGTATGTGTGACAGTGTGTGTCTGTGTGTGTTTGTGATGGTGTGTGTGTTACATGTATGTGTGACAGTGTGTGTCTGTGTGTGTTTGTGATGGTGTGTGTGTTACATGTATGTGTGACAGTGTGTGTTTGTGATGGTGTGTGTTACATGTATGTGTGACAGTGTGTGTCTGTGTGTCTGTGTGTGTGTATTTGTGATGGTGTGTGTGTTACATGTATGTGTGACAGTGTGTGTCTGTGTGTGTTTGTGATGGTGTGTGTTACATGTATGTGTGTGAGTGTGTGTCTGTGTGTGTGTATTTGTGATGGTGTGTGTGTTACATGTATGTGTGACAGTGTGTGTCTGTGTGTGTTTGTGATGGTGTGTGTTACATGTATGTGTGACAGTGTGTGTCTGTGTGTCTGTGTGTGTGTATTTGTGATGGTGTGTGTTACATGTATGTGTGACAGTGTGTGTCTGTGTGTGTTTGTGATGGTGTGTGTTACATGTATGTGTGACAGTGTGTGTCTGTGTGTGCGTGTGATGGTGTGTGTGTTACATGTATGTGTGACAGTGTGTGTCTGTGTGTGTTTGTGATAGTGTGTGTTACATGTATGTGTGACAGTGTGTGACAGTGTGTGTCTGTGTGTGTATTTGTGATGGTGTGTGTGTTACATGTATGTGTGACAGTGTGTGTCTGTGTGTGTGTTTGTGATGGTGTGTGTGTTACATGTATGTGTGACAGTGTGTGTCTGTGTCTTGCAAAACGTGGACCCCCCTAATGGAACATCTTCGCCGGTTAGAAACATTTAGGCTGGCCTGCCTACGATCCATCCTGGGTTTAACCAGACTGGATTGTGTGAGGAGCTCACAAATCCTTGAAAGATCTGGGCATGGTCCCATCGGTGAGCTCCTCCGGCGGGCAAGGCTGCGATGGCTGGGTCATGTAGCCCGCATGCCCAGCCACCGCATGCCGAAACAGCTTTTGTTCGGCCGGATTGAGGGGGCTAAGCGGGCGCGGCACGGGCTAGAGAAGAGATGGAGTGTTGTGGTACGGGAGGGCGTGGAGCTGAGTGGACTTGCCGATGACTGGTACCAGCGGTGTCAAGATCGGCCTCTGTGGAGGAGGCTCGTGAAGGACGCTACTGGGCAGTTGGAGGTAGTCGCCCTCCAACAACAACGGAGGGCGGAGGAGCGACGCTCAGAACAACGAGCGGAGCGCCGGGTGGCTAAAGCACAGCAGGTTGGCACAGTAGGGGGCACAGGTGGTGCATCAGCCAGTCATCTCAGTCAGTCGACCCGTGGCATCTGGGTCTGCCCCATGACCTCCTGCCAGCGGGCGTTCGACACTTCACGTGGCCTCAGGGTGCACATAGCCTGGCACAAGCGTCGTGGTGACGTCACCGCCACTTAGTGGCGAACGGCGGTTGTTGTTGTGTGTTTGTGATGGTGTGTGTGTTACATGTATGTATGACAGTGTGTGTCTGTGTGACGGTGTGTGTGTTTGTGATGGTGTGTGTGTGTTACATGTATGTGTGACAGTGTGTGTCTGTGTGTGTTTGTGATGGTGTGTGTGTGTTACATGTATGTGTGACAGTGTGTGTCTGTGTGACGGTGTGTGTGTTTGTGATGGTGTGTGTGTTACATGTATGTGTGACAGTGTGTGTCTGTGTGTCTGTGTGTGTGTTTGTGATGGTGTGTGTGTTACATGTATGTGTGACAGTGTGTGTCTGTGTGTGTTTGTGATGGTGTGTGTGTTACATGTATGTGTGACAGTGTGTGTCTGTGTGTGTTTGTGATGGTGTGTGTGTTACATGTATGTGTGACAGTGTGTGTCTGTGTGACGGTGTGTGTGTTTGTGATGGTGTGTGTGTTACATGTATGTGTGACAGTGTGTGTCTGTGTGACGGTGTGTGTGTTTGTGATGGTGTGTGTGTGTTACATGTATGTGTGACAGTGTGTGTCTGTGTGTGTTTGTGATGGTGTGTGTGTTACATGTATGTGTGACAGTGTGTGTCTGTGTGTGTTTGTGATGGTGTGTGTGTTACATGTATGTGTGACAGTGTGTGTCTGTGTGACGGTGTGTGTGTTTGTGATGGTGTGTGTGTTACATGTATGTGTGACAGTGTGTGTCTGTGTGACGGTGTGTGTGTTTGTGATGGTGTGTGTGTGTTACATGTATGTGTGACAGTGTGTGTCTGTGTGTATTTGTGATGGTGTGTGTGTTACATGTATGTGTGACAGTGTGTGTCTGTGTGTGTTTGTGATGGTGTGTGTGTTACATGTATGTGTGACAGTGTGTGTCTGTGTGACGGTGTGTGTGTTTGTGATGGTGTGTGTGTTACATGTATGTGTGACAGTGTGTGTCTGTGTGACGGTGTGTGTGTTTGTGATGGTGTGTGTGTTACATGTATGTGTGACAGTGTGTGTCTGTGTGACGGTGTGTGTGTTTGTGATGGTGTGTGTGTTACATGTATGTGTGACAGTGTGTGTCTGTGTGACGGTGTGTGTGTTTGTGATGGTGTGTGTGTTACATGTATGTGTGACAGTGTGTGTCTGTGTGTGTTTGTGATGGTGTGTGTGTTACATGTATGTGTGACAGTGTGTGTCTGTGTGACGGTGTGTGTAGCGGAGTTGCGGCGTCTGTGTGACGCGGTGGTGCGCTGTGAGGACGATGCTGCGCGCGTCACTGCGTTTGCGCCACTTCAGGAGCTCTCGACGCTGGTTCAGTTCGCAAACGACGAGTCTGACTACGGTATGGGACTTGAGTTCGGACTCAACCTCTTCTGCCACGGATCCCATGTGAGTCTCGCTCCGCTCGGACTCACTACTACACTCACTGACTCACTACTACACTCACTCAAACTCACTACTACACTCAGACTCACGACTACACTCACGCACTCGGACTGACTACGACACTCACTGGGACTCACTATTACACTCACTCACTGGGACTCACTACTACACTTGGACTCACTACTACTCTCACTCGGTGACTCACTACTTACTGCTACACTCACTAGGACTTCACTCAGACTCACTACTATACTAAACTCACTCAGACTAACTCCTACACTCAGGCTCAGTTCTACACTCACTCACTGGGACTCACTACTACACTCACTGGGACTCACTATTACTCTCAGACGCACTACTACACTCACTGATTCGGATTCACTACACTCCCTCACTAGGACTCACGACTACACGCGCGCACTCGGACTCACTACTGCACTCACTGGGTGACTCACTACTGCACTCACTTGGACTCATTACTATACTCACTCACTACTACACTCACTCAGGCTCAGTACAACACTCACTCGGACTTACTACTGCACTCACTCACTTCTACACTCACTCACTGAAACTCACTACTACACTCACTCATTTCGACTCATGACACTCACTCACTAGGACTCACTACTCACTCATTCAGACTCACTACTACACTCACTCATTCAGACTCACTACTACACTCACTCATTCAGACTCACTACTACACTCACTCATTCAGACTCACTACTACACTCACTGGGACTCACTACTACACTCACTCATTCAGACTCACTACTACACTCACTCGTTCACTCACTACTACACTCACTCTTTCAGACTCACTACTACACTCACTCTTTCAGACTCACTACTACACTCACTCTTTCAGACTCACTACTACACTCACTCATTCAGACTCACTACTACACTCACTGGGACTTACTACTACACTCACTCATTCAGACTCACTACTACACTCACTGGGACTCACTACTCGCTCACTCATTCAGACTCACTACTACACTCACTCATTCAGACTCACTACAACACTCACTCTTTCAGACTCACTACTACACTCACTCATTCAGACTCACTACTACACTCACTCATTCAGACTCACTACTACACTCACATTCAGACTCACTACTACACTCACTCATTCAGACTCACTACTACACTCACTCTTTCAGACTCACTACTACACTCACTCATTCAGACTCACTAATACACTCACTGGGACTCACTACTACACTCACTCATTCAGACTCACTACTACACTCACTCATTCAGACTCACTACTACACTCACTCTTTCAGACTCACTACTACACTCACTCTTTCAGACTCACTACTACACTCACTCTTTCAGACTCACTACTACACTCACTCATTCAGACTCACTACTACACTCACTGGGACTCACTACTACACTCACTCATTCAGACTCACTACTACACTCACTCATTCAGACTCACTACTACACTCACTGGGACTCACTACTACACTCACTGGGACTCACTACTCACTCACTCTTTCAGACTCACTACTACACTCACTGGGACTCACTACTACACTCACTCATTCAGACTCACTACTACACTCACTCATTCAGACTCACTACTACACTCACTAATTCAGACTCACTACTACACTCACTCATTCATACTCACTACTACACTCACTCATTCAGACTCACTACTACACTCACTCATTCAGACTCACTACTACACTCACTCATTCAGACTCACTACTACACTCACTCATTCAGACTCACTACTACACTCACTGGGACTCACTACTACACTCACTCATTCAGACTCACTACTACACTCACTCATTCAGACTCACTACTACACTCACTCATTCAGACTCACTACTACACTCACTGGGACTCACTACTACACTCACTCATTCAGACTCACTACTACACTCACTCATTCAGACTCACTACTACACTCACTCATTCAGACTCACTACTACACTCACTCTTTCAGACTCACTACTACACTCACTGGGACTCACTACTACACTCACTGGGACTCACTACTCACTCACTCATTCAGACTCACTACTACACTCACTCATTCAGACTCACCACTACACTCACTCATTCAGACTCACTCCTACACTCACTCATTCAGACTCACTACTACACTCACTCAGACTCACTACTACACTCACTCATTCAGACTCACTACTACACTCACTCATTCAGACTCACTACTACACTCACTCATTCAGACTCACTACTACACTCACTCATTCATACTCACTACTACACTCACTCATTCAGACTCACTACTACACTCACTCAGACTCACTACTACACTCACTCATTCAGACTCACTACTACACTCACTCTTTCAGACTCACTACTACACTCACTGGGACTCACTACTCACTCACTCATTCAGACTCACTACTACACTCACTCATTCAGACTCACTACTACACTCACTCATTCACTCACTACTACACTCACTCATTCAGACTCACTACTACACTCACTCAGACTCACTACTACACTCACTCTTTCAGACTCACTACTACACTCACTCTTTCAGACTCACTACTACACTCACTCTTTCAGACTCACTACTCACTCACTCATTCAGACTCACTACTACACTCACTCATTCAGACTCACTACTACACTCACTCATTCAGACTCACTACTACACTCACTCAGACTCACTACTACACTCACTCATTCAGACTCACTACTACACTCACTCTTTCAGACTCACTACTACACTCACTGGGACTCACTACAACACTCACTCATTCAGACTCACTACTACACTCACTGGGACTCACTACTACACTCACTCATTCAGACTCACTACTACACTCACTCTTTCAGACTCACTACTACACTCACTCATTCAGACTCACTACTACACTCACTGGGACTCACTACAACTCACTCTTTCAGACTCACTACTACACTCACTCATTCAGACTCACTACTACACTCACTCATTCAGACTCACTACTACACTCACTCATTCAGACTCACTACTACACTCACTCATTCAGACTCACTACTACACTCACTCTTTCAGACTCACTACTACACTCACTCATTCATACTCACTACTACACTCACTCATTCAGACTCACTACTACACTCACTCTTTCAGACTCACTACTACACTCACTCATTCAGACTCACTACTACACTCACTCATTCAGACTCACTACTACACTCACTGGGACTCACTACTACACTCACTCTTTCAGACTCACTACTACACTCACTCATTCAGACTCACTACTACACTCACTCATTCAGACTCACTACTACACTCACTCTTTCAGACTCACTACTACACTCACTCAGACTCACTACTACACTCACTCTTTCAGACTCACTACTACACTCACTCATTCAGACTCACTACTACACTCACTGGGACTCACTACTACACTCACTGGGACTCACTACTACACTCACTCATTCAGACTCACTACTACACTCACTCGTTCACTCACTACTACACTCACTCTTTCAGACTCACTACTACACTCACTCATTCAGACTCACTACTACACTCACTCATTCAGACTCACTACTACACTCACTGGGACTCACTACTACACTCACTCATTCAGACTCACTACTACACTCACTCATTCAGACTCACTACTACACTCACTCATTCAGACTCACTACTACACTCACTGGGACTCACTACTACACTCACTCATTCAGACTCACTACTACACTCACTCAGACTCACTACTACACTCACTCATTCAGACTCACTACTACACTCACTGGGACTCACTACTACACTCACTCTTTCAGACTCACTACTACACTCATTCATTCAGACTCACTACTACACTCACTCATTCAGACTCACTACTACACTCACTCTTTCAGACTCACTACTACACTCACTCATTCAGACTCACTACTACACTCACTCATTCAGACTCACTACTTCACTCACTCATTCAGACTCACTACTACACTCACTCATTCAGACTCACTACTACACTCACTGGGACTCACTACTCACTCACTCTTTCAGACTCACTACTACACTCACTCATTCAGACTCACTACTACACTCACTGGGACTCACTACTACACTCACTCATTCAGACTCACTACTACACTCACTGGGACTCACTACTACACTCACTCTTTCAGACTCACTACTACACTCACTCTTTCAGACTCACTACTACACTCACTCATTCAGACTCACTACTACACTCACTGGGACTCACTACTACACTCACTCATTCAGACTCACTACTACACTCACTCATTCAGACTCACTACTACACTCACTGGGACTCACTACTACACTCACTCATTCAGACTCACTACTACACTCACTGGGACTCACTACTACACTCACTCATTCAGACTCACTACTACACTCACTCATTCAGACTCACTACTACACTCACTCATTCAGACTCACTACTACACTCACTCTTTCAGACTCACTACTACACTCACTCTTTCAGACTCACTACTACACTCACTCATTCAGACTCACTACTACACTCACTCTTTCAGACTCACTACTACACTCACTCATTCAGACTCACTACTACACTCACTCATTCAGACTCACTACTACACTCACTCATTCAGACTCACTACTACACTCACTCATTCAGACTCACTACTACACTCACTCATTCAGACTCACTACTACACTCACTCTTTCAGACTCACTACTACACTCACTCATTCAGACTCACTACTACACTCACTCAGACTCACTACTACACTCACTCATTCAGACTCACTACTACACTCACTCAGACTCACTACTACACTCACTCTTTCAGACTCACTACTACACTCACTCATTCAGACTCACTACTACACTCACTCATTCAGACTCTACTACACTCACTCACTGGGACTCACTACTCACTACTACTCACTACTACACACTCACTGGGACTCCCCATACTCACTACCGCTCCCCAAACACCACTCACCTCAACTCACAACTCACCACGACTCACAACACTTATCACTCACCTCAACTCACTACACTCGCCTCAACTCACTACACTCACTCACCTCGACTCACCACGACTCACAACACTTATCACTCACCTCAACTCACTACACTCACCTCAACTCACGACTCACCTCGACTCACTACTGACCTCGACTCGCTACACTCACCACTCACCTCAACTCACTGACCTCAACTCACTCCACTCACCAGGACTCGCTACACTCACCACTCACCTACACTCACTGACCTCAACTCACTCCACTCACCACTCACCTACACTCACTGACCTCAACTCACTCCACTCACCAGGACTCGCTACACTCACCATGCTCACCTACACTCACTGACCTCAACTCACTCCACTCACCAGGACTCGCTACACTCACCATGCTCACCACGCCTCACCGCGCCGCTGTGTGTGGTCCCAGTTCTTCCACAAGCTGGCAGGCCGCACGCTGCGCCTGTCCTACTCCCTGCTCAAGAGAGATGTCTTCGGTGACATCGCCAGCGCTCACCTCGCCCAGCGATCACGCCAGCCCCTCAACCTCTTCCCCTGACCACTCACCCTCAACTCACTCGCCTGATCCTCACCATACACACACACACACACCCTCAACTCACTCGCCTGATCCTCACCATACACACACACACACACCCTCAACTCACTCGCCTGATCCTCACCATACACACACACACACACCCTCAACTCACTCGCCTGACCACTCACCCTCAACTCACTCGCCTGATCCTCACCATACACACACACACACACCCTCAACTCACTCCCCTGATCCTCACCATACACACACACACACACACCCTCAACCTCCTCCCCTGATCCTCACCCAACCCTCTCACTCATCTGATCCTTATCACACCCACAACTCACTCACCTGATCCTCACCCAACCCACTCACTCACTCACTCACCTGATCCTCATGCAACTCGATCACCTGATCCACACTCTCAACTCACTCACCTGATCTTCACCACACCCACATACCCTGAACGAGTCTCCCTTTTCAACCCCCTCACCCTGCTCACCATCAACCCCTCACCCTACTCACCGTCAACCCCCTCACCCTACTCACCATCAACCCCCTCGCCCTACTCACCATCAACCCCCTCACCCTAAACCCCCTCGCCCTACTCACCATCAACCCCCTCGCCCTACTCACCATCAACCCCCTCGCCCTACTCACCATCAACCCCCTCGCCCTACTCACCATCAACCCCCTCACCCTACTCACCATCAACCCCCTCGCCCTACTCACCATCAACCCCCTCACCCTACTCACCATCAACCCCCTCACCCTAAACCCCCTCACCCTACTCACCATCAACCCCCTCACCCCGCTCACCCTAAACCCCCTCATCCCGCTCACCCTAAACCCGCTCACCCTACTCACCATCAACCCCCCCTCACTTTCCTCAACTCACCCATCCCCCCACCCCCGCCCAACACCAAACCCATAGACTAACCTATACATGAACGATTGTTTATTTACTCTACACTCGTGTTTATTTAGCAGGTAAGACCCACTGAGCTATGTAGCTCTTTTTTCAGAAGCTACCTGGCCACACGTAATGATAGCTCAACAAAGTTGCTTATCATCATCATCGTGTGGGAATTTATTGTAGCAGCCAAACACTCTGAACGTGTGATGTCGATTCTAAATGTTGAAGGGGAAACCGGAGGAACCGGAGAAAAATCCACATGACCACCACGGGGAGAGAAAGACGCAGACTTCAAATATACAGCAGCAGGCATGGTCAGGGTGGAATTCACGACCTCCTGCATACTAGGCGAGGGAGATAACGTCTCTCTGCCCGTCACGCGTGTCACCCCTGGTTTGACCCCCGGTTTGACCCCTGGTGGGTAACCCCTGACCCTTTGTGGCCATTGATCCCTGAAATGTAGCCCTTGTCTTCTCGGCGCAGACCCTCGCCTTTCACCTTTCACCCAGACTACGTAGTGCCGAACCCCGACCTTTAAACCTTAACCCTGAACTTTGACATTTGAAGCGTCTCCCCACAACTTCACCCCACGACTTTCAACCCCCACTCCTTAGCGTTGACCTCTGAGTGATTCCTGAGGGACCTCTCCCTATGGGGACTTCGTGTTCGTTGTTTGTGGATATGAAATAAAAAAAGGAAAAGAGCAGAGTATGCCCAGTCCAGGAGACACGACGGCCTGGAAGACACCGGGAGACACGGTCTGGGAGACACCGGGAGACACGGTCTGTGAGACACCGGGAGACACTGGGAGACACGGTCTGTGAGACACTGGGAGACAGAGTCTGTGAGACACTGGGAGACGCGGTCTAGGAGACACTGGGAGACACTGAGACACTGAGAGACACGGTCTGGGAGACACCGGGAGACACGGTCTGGGAGACACCGGGAGACACGGTCTGGGAGACACCGGGAGACACGGTCTGTGAGACACCGGGAGACACGGTCTGTGAGACACCGGGAGACACGGTCTGTGAGACACTGGGAGACTCGGTCTGTGAGACACTGGGAGACACGGTCTGTGAGACACTGGGAAACACGGTCTGTGAGACACTGGGAGACACGGTCTGTGAGACACTGGGAGACAGAGTCTGTGAGACACTGGGAGACGCAGTCTAGGAGACACTGGGAGACACTGAGACACTGGGAGACACGGTCTAGGAGACACTGGGAGACACGGTCTGGGAGACACGGTCTGGGAGACACGGTCTGGGAGACACCGGGAGACACGGTCTGTGAGACACTGGGAGACACGGTCTGTGAGACACCGGGAGACACGGTCTGTGAGACACTGGGAGACACGGTCTGTGAGACACTGGGAGACAGAGTCTGTGAGACACCGGGAGACAGAGTCTGTGAGACACCGGGAGACACGGTCTGGGAGACACTGGGAGACACGGTCTGGGAGACACCGGGAGACACGGTCTGTGAGACACTGGGAGACACGGTCTGTGAGACACTGGGAGACACGGTCTGCGAGTCACTAGGAGACACTGGGAGACACGGTCTGTGAGACACTGGGAGACATCGTCTAGGAGACACCGGGAGACACTGGGAGACACGGTCTATGAGACACCGGGAGACACGGTCTGGGAGACACGGTCTGTGAGACACCGGGAGACAGAGTCTGGGAGACACCGGGAGACACGGTCTGTGAGACACTGGGAGACAGAGTCTGGGAGACACCGGGAGACACGGTCTGGGAGACACTGGGAGACACCTGGAGACACGGTCTGGGAGACACCGGGAGACACGGCCTGTGAGACACTCGGAGACAGAGTCTGTGAGACACTGGGAGTTACGGTCTGTGAGACACTGGGAGACACGGTCTGTGAGACACCGGGAGACAGAGTCTGGGAGACACCGGGAGACCGGGAGACAGTCTGGGAGACACTGGGAGAGAGAGTCTGGGACACACGGTCTGTGAGACACCGGGAGACAGAGTCTGTGAGACACGGGGAGAGAGTCTGGGAGACGGTCTGGGAGACACCGGGAGACAGAGTCTGTGAGACACGGGGAGAGAGTCTGGGAGACACCGGGAGACACGGTCTGGGAGACACCGGGAGACACTAGGAGACAGAGTCTGGGAGACACGGGGACACACGTACTGTGGTACTTCGCCAGAAAGTTTCCCGCACCTCCGATTAGCATGTTTGGCTATGTACAGTGGTGACGAAGTTAAACATACAGTGAGGGAAAAAAGTATTTGATCCCCTGCTGATTTTGTACGTTTGCCCACTGACAAAGAAATTATCATTCATAATAAAGGTTTTTGGGTTAGATCGCGTTATTTCTAAATGTGTCGTAACCCTCCACCACCCGACACGGCCAATCAGCAAAATAAAGTGTCACGTTGACAAAAGACAATTAGTTCACTACTTTAGCCCACCGGTGTGTTGAAGAGTGAATCCACAATATTTACAGTTTGAGTAGCACGACGTTTCGCTGGTAATTACATCCAGCATCATCGGGCAATTCGCCAGAATGGTAAAGCCCTCGCTTGCTCCCGGTTTTATATAGAGCAGCAGGGTGACGTCTTCATTTAACTCATTTCAGGTGCAGTCATTTGAGGCAGAGGAGGGGGGGGTATTGTAATTATATAATCGATTGGCAATCAGTCATTGGTTATGATTAGTAATGAGTTGTAGATTGGTAATTAGTTGTAAGGTTTGTTATTGTGATTATATGCTACATTAGTAATCCATTAATGTGTTTCCCCTATAAGGAATTGTAATATGTATTATTTAATAATACGCTTCCAAGCCGCACTAAGCCTATAGCTATCAGAACGATTAAAGTTATTTCGGTTTCTCTCAATTTCAATGGATTCTCTAATTAGTCTTTGCCAGTAATAATTAGCCTTGAGGTCCCATCCCCCTGTGTTGTGTATGCTTCATCGCGGCTGGCCTGTAAAGCTTTATGCCCTCTTTTTGGGGGGGGGGGGGGGGGGGCCGCCATCTAATCCGGTCTGGGGGGGGGGGGGGGGGGGCTCAGCCAATTTCCTGGTCCGGGGAAACCGTGGAACGTCCCTGCTAGTGGGGTCCTCGGGTGAAAACCCATCGTACCACGTGATCCCTCCTCGAGACCCTACGGGTGTGCACGTGAGTGTTTAGTGGGGCGTGCGTGCGTTCATGGGGGGGGAGGGGGGGGTGCGAGGAGAGGGTAGTGCTGGCCGAGCTGCTCCGCTGTGGTGCCACCACAAGCCCACCCAATGTCGCAAGTGCCTCTTCACCCTGCTGCGACACACCCCAGAGGAGAGAACCACGTCTTCGGCCCGTTCACATCCATCCCCCCGTCACCCCGCCACGCCCCGCGGATAGTAAACCGCCGCCTGGTCAGTTGCCGGACTCGGCCACACAATGGAAGAATCCGGCGTAGGCGGATGGTAGCAGCCACATCGGGAACCTCGGTCCTGGTCGGTGCCGTCGGCACGCATCCTGGTTGACAGGGAAGCATCGGCCTTTAGTTCCCGTCAAGACGACGTCCGTCGCAGCAAATGGAGGCAGTGTGGGCTTCCTGGGCCAGATTGAAGCCCCGATACAGATTGGGCAGCTTTCGGTAGCAGGACCCATCCTTGTCTCCGCAACGCTGCCTGTTGGGGACGGACGTTCTGAGGCACATGCCTATGAAAATCGATCTGGCCAACGGGCGGGTGAAAGTCCAGGGAACGCATCTCCATTTCGTGAAGGCGAAGGGGGCCGGCCTGGGGGTACCCTACGTGCAGGCTCTGGTCAGCGAGTCTGTCTCCATTCCCGTGGTGACCAAGGATTGACTGCCTGAATGCCATTAAGTGTTAGCTCCAAACTACCACAGCCACCGCTGCAAGGGTGACCTCTGCAACAGCGCAGAAGCGTTTGGGGGTAAAGCAAAGTCAATCCTAACCCTAAATCACAGGGGTTTGAAGCCTCTACCCCTATCACTGCCCATACTATCACTACCCATAACCCTATCGCTACACCATCATTACCACTATCACTGTCCCTACCCCTATCGCTACCCGGAGAATTCCCTACCACCACCCCTGCTTAACCACTCCCGCCTGTCCTGTCACTATGACCACACCACCACCACTCTTAATAACAATAACCCCACTCTTTATCTGAACCACTATGATCGTGTGCAAACTTTGTGAAAGTATTTTAAAGTGACTTGGATGAAGGCGCTGCTATGTCAACATAAGGAATTGAGGTTTTCAGTCTTTTCTGGAAAGATAAATACGATTTGGAAAGACAATACAAATATTTTTTTTGCCATTCTCAATTTAGGACGCTTCTCTGACCTTTCTTGCGGTCCTTCAAGCCGTTGGGCGCAATTTGTTGTTGTTACTTCGATTTGTTTTTACTCCACTCGTCGACCGGGGAAAGCCGCACCGAGCCTCAAGGCGTCACGGTGGCTCGATATTCACGACCTCGTCTGGTATATAGGAGGTCGTGGGTTCCATACCAGGAGCAATGCTTATTGTATATTGGAGTCTGCGTTTCTATCTCAGTGGTTGCGTGGACTTTTCTCAGGGTCCTCTGGTTTTTCCCCCTCCACATTCAGAATCAACATCACGCGTTTAAGAGCATTTGGCTGTGATACATGTCTACGTGATGATAAGCCACCGCGGTGGGATATCATTTGTGATAGCCATGTTGCTTCTGAAAAAAAAGTTATTCGGACAGTCATTGACTTACAAACATAACTCGTTCCTGGGACCCATTCGTAAGTCAAACGGTGGGTAAGTCGAAACACAAATGCACTGTATTCAAATTCCCACTCATTTCCAACAAGAGGCCAACTCATTCAAATCTCGCGGAAAATCGCTCCGCTGAACAAAATAGTTCAGCGGTTCAATTTGCTAGTGAGAGTTCGCGGTTTTAAGTCAATGTTAAAAAATATATATTTCATGGAAACTGGTTTGTAAGTGGGTGTTCATACGGACTCTGTATTGCTGGTAAATTAAAAAGTGTCGTTTTAGTTTAGTCTCTCCAGGACGTTCCTGACAAGTGTTCACTGTAGGGGGGGAACTGCTCCTGCTCTTAGCTCCACTGTGGGTCTGGCTATGGGAGGAAATCGCACAATCTGGAGGAAACCCATACGTACTTAATAGGGGGACAGCATACAAGAGACAAAGATCCCCCCCAAAGCCGATGTCTGTACGCTGAACTTCTTTCTCACCGTACGAAGCCAACCGTGTTAATCGGAGGTGCGGGGGAAAGACAACACAGCGCACTCACTCCACACTCACCCATTCACGCACCACACTAACCCATACTCACCCGCCTCTCTTCTCCTGCAATCGATATTTGTTTATTCGCAGTGCGTGGTTTGTGAGGTTTTTTTTTTTCTTCAGTCTCGAGATCAAAAAAATTGCACAGAAAACTTTGTCGCAAACCCCAAGAACGTCGCCACAGCTTGTGTTATTTTAAAAAGAAACAAATATTAAGACGACAATGACAACGGTGAGGATGGTGGTGAAGATGGTGAGGATTCTAGTCGTGCCGATTTGGGACGCATCATTTAACAGTGGTTAGGAGACGTTCTCTCTCTCTCTCGCCCGGTGTACAGGAGGCCGTGGGTTCGATCCCGACCCTGACGACGCCTGCTGCTGCTGTATGTTTGGAGTTCTGTGTATCTCTCTCATCATCATCACCACTGTGGCTAGATGTTAACTACCTCGCCTGGTATACAGGAGGTCCTGGATTCAATCCCTACCCTGACGATGCCTGCTGCTGTATATCTGGAGTTTGCGTCTCTCTCTCTCATCATCATCACCACCACTGTGGCTAGATATTAACTACCTCGCCTGGCATACAGGAGGTCGTGGATTTCATCCCGACCCTGACGACGCCTGCTGCTGCTGCTGTATATTTGGAGTCTGCGTCTCTCTCCCCGTGGTGGTCCCATGGATTTTTCTCTGGGTCCTCCGGTTTTTTTCCGCCTCCACATTTAGAATCAACGTCACGCGTTCAGAGTGTTTGGCTACTGCTGTAAATTTCCACGCGGTGATGAGAAGCCGCTTCCATTGGGCTTTCATTACACGTGGCCAGGTCGCTTATGAAAAAAGAGCTTTACAGAAGCTCAGTGGGGCATTACCTGGTGTAATTAAAAAATCGTTCATAGTTTTAATTTTGGCGATTGATAAGTGCGCCCGTGGTTCTTCCAAGTCATCTCCCCACCCCCTCTCTCTCTTACGTGAATTAGCGACTATGTTACAAACCTAACTGATAAATTATTATTATTCTGATTATTGTTGATTATTATCGTAGAGAGTCGCAGGGATTGAGAGTGAGAGTGGCAAAGCGTCAATCACGGTGCAGAATCATGGCGTGGCAAGAACACTCCACACACTCCTGGGGTTCTACCGCCCCGCGCCGCCCTTAGGTCAACTCAGCCTGAAAACATACAACTCCGAAAGCCGGCGATGGCCCATCAGTGAGTGTCTCAGGGCGTTGGGTAGGGAAACAAAGGCAGCCAGGTGGCTGGGCGTGGTGCTGGCCACCCACCCTCTCTGTGGTGTGCCACAGTGCTGGCCTTCACAGGCACTGCTGCTACTCGCTAATAACAGCACTTGCCCCTACAGTCTGTTCCAAGGCTACACGAGCCGTCTTTGTCTCTACACACGCAAGGTCAGACACAGACACAAAGTCACACGGACACAGTCGCAAGACAAAGAGGTTCCTCCTCGTAGCCTTGATGCTGTTGGGGCAAGTGCTGTTAGCGAGTAGCACCAAAGACAGATAGATACACAGACACATAGGTACACAGAGACAAAGAACAACAACCGCCATTCGCCACCAAGTGGCCAAAAGAAGAGAGGTTAGACACACACACAGACACACACACAGACACACACACAGAGACACACACACAGACATACACAGACACACACAGACACACACACAGACACACACAGAGACACACACAGAGACACACACACAGAGACACAACAACAACCGCCATTCGCCACCAAGTGGCGGTGACGTCACCACGACGCTTGTGCCAGGCTGTGTGCACGTTGAGGCCACGTGAAGTGTCGAACGCCCGCGGCACACACAAAGACACGCATAGACACACTCACACACAGATACAAACAGATCCCCCGTGTAGCCTCTAGCAGGGCTCTAGGGGCAAGTGCTGTTAGCAAGCGGAACCTATGAAGGCCGGCACTGTAGCACACGAGAGGGTGGGGTGGCCGGCACCACGCCCGGCCGCCTTTGTCTCCCCAGTGGCGATATTTATTGCACACCACAGTGGGTATTTATTTTGAGGCCGAGTTGACCTAGGGGATGAGGCCCAGGACCGGCTGTGCAGATAATCGCCGCTATCACAACGAGTGGCCGTGAGCGGGAATGGAACTCGGTTCTCTGGCGGGTCGCGAGGCGCAGAGAGACGTTTGGTGGCGTGGTCCTGGCTCGGAGAGCCGGCACGGCGGTTAAAGAGCCCAGGAACAAAGTAAACAGAGTCACTGACGGAGACACAGCGGAGACACGTGGGTGTAGAGACACAGCGGAGACACGTGGGTGTAGAGACACAGCGGAGACACGGGGACATAACGGAGACATAGAGGGTGTGGGAGACAGTGGAGACACGGAGACACGGGGACACAGAACACACGGGGACATGGAGACACTGAGAAACGATAAGACAAAGGGACAGAAAACCCAACAGAGACACGGGAGACAGGCAGACGGGGGGACGTGGAGAGCCCGCTCCGTGAGGGTCACGTGTCCCACGCCCACAGGGCGAGATTGGTGCCCCACCCGCTAGGTTCGCTCCAGGGTGACTACTCCGCCCACGAGCTCAGTTGAACAGGATGGACTCGGGGTCTTGGTTTGCCATCTGCGCCATGTGGCGCAGCACATCCTTCTTGGTTATGATGCCGAGGAGCCGCCTACAGTCACACACGCAAAGAGTCACACGCACAAAGAGTCACACACACACACACAGAGTCACACACACACACAAAGAGTCACACACACACAAAGAGTCACACACACACACAAAGAGTCACACACACACAAAGAGTCACACACACACAAAGAGTCACACACACAGAGTCACACACACACAAAGAGTCACACACACACACAAAGAGTCACACACACACACAAAGAGTCACACACACACAAAGAGTCACACACACACAAAGAGTCACACACACACACAAAGAGTCACACACACACACAAAGAGTCACACACACACAAAGAGTCACACGCACAAAGAGTCACACACACAGAGTCACACACACAAAGAGACACACACAAAGAGTCACACACAAAGAGTCACACACACACACAGAGTCACTCACACACACACACACAAAGAGTCACACACAAAGAGTCACACACACACAAAGAGTCACACACACACAAAGAGTCACACACGCAAAGAGTCACACACACAGAGTCGCACACACACAAAGAGTCACACACACACAAAGAGTCACACACACACAAAGAGTCACACACACACAAAGAGTCACACACACAAAGAGTCACACACACACAAAGAGTCACACACACTCAAAGAGTCACACACACACAAAGAGTCACACACACAGAGTCACACACACAAAGAGTCACACACACACACAGAGTCACTCACACACACATACAAAGAGTCACACACAAAGAGTCACACACACAAAGAGTCACACACACACACAAAGAGACACACACAAAGAGTCACTCACACACAAAGAGTCACACACACACAAAGAGTCACACACACACACACACAAAGAGTCACACACACACAAAGAGTCACACACACACAAAGAGACACACACAAAGAGTCACTCACACACAAAGAGTCACACACACACAAAGAGTCACACACACACAAAGAGTCACACACACACAAAGAGTCACACACACACACAAAGAGTCACACACACACAAAGAGTCACACACACACAAAGAGTCACACACACTCAAAGAGTCACACACACACAAAGAGTCACACACACAGAGTCACACACACAAAGAGTCACACACACACACACACAGAGTCACTCACACACACATACAAAGAGTCACACACAAAGAGTCACACACACAAAGAGTCACACACACACACAAAGAGACACACACAAAGAGTCACTCACACACAAAGAGTCACACACACACAAAGAGTCACACACACACACACAAAGAGTCACACACACACACACAAAGAGTCACACACACACAAAGAGTCACACACACACAAAGAGACACACACACAAAGAGACACACACAAAGAGTCACTCACACACAAAGAGTCACACACACACAAAGAGACACACACACACAAAGAGACACACACAAAGAGTCACTCACACAAAGAGTCACTCACACACAAAGAGTCACACACACACAAAGAGTCACACACACACACAAAGAGTCACACACATAAAGAGTCACACACACAAAGAGTCACACACACAAAGAGTCACACACACAAAGAGTCACACACACACACAAAGAGTCACACACACACAAAGAGTCACACACACAAAGAGTCACACACACAAAGAGTCACACACACACACAGAGTCACACACACACACAAAGTCACACACACACACAAAGAGTCACACACACAAAGAGTCACACACACAAAGAGTCACACACACAAAGAGTCACACACACACAAAGAGTCACACACACACAAAGAGTCACACACACAAAGAGTCACACACACAAAGAGTCACACACACACAAAGAGTCACACACACAAAGAGTCACACACACACACACAAAGAGTCACACACACAAAGAGTCACACACACACAAAGAGTCACACACACAAAGAGACACACACAAAGAGTCACACACACACAAAGAGTCACACACACACAAAGAGTCACACACACACAAAGAGTCACACACACAGGCACAACAACAACAACCGCCATTCGCCACTAATTGACTGCGACACAACCACGGCGCCTGTGCCAGGCCAGGTGCACTTTGAGGCCACGTGAAGTGTCGAATGCCAGCTGGCAGGAGGTCACGGGACAGACCCAGGTGTCATGGGTTAGCTGAATGAGATGACTGGCTGATGCACCACCTGTGCCCCCTACTGTGCCAACCTGCTGTGTTTTAGCCACCCGGCGCTCCGCTCGTTGTTGTGAGCATCGCTCCTCTGCCCTCCGTTGTTGCTTGGGAGCGACTGTCTCCAACTTCCCAGCAGTATCCTTCACGAGCCTCCTCCATAGAGGCCAATCTTGACACCACTGGTACCGGTTATTGGCAAGTCCACTCGGTTCCACATCCTCTTGTACAACATCACTCCAACTCTTTTCTCGCCCGTGCCATGCCTATTTAGCCCCCTCTATCCTTCAGGATGGTGATAGGGTGTGGCGCTGCAAGTAACTTATTTGATGGCATTAAATAATTATTTGTTACTGCCGGTTACTGAGGCAGTACACAGTTACAAACCCATTCTAAATAAAACAATTTTTTAGAACGGCTCTTTGTGTTTAGTTTGTTGTCCTCCCCCTGCATCTCCGATTAGCATGACTGGCTAAGTACAGTGCCAAAAAAAGTTCAACATACATACACACAATGTTTCACACTCGCATTGCACAGAATCACACGCAACACACACCATTACCCCTTACCCACTCGCTCACCCACCCACTCAGTCACTCGTTGATCCACTCACCCACCCACCTGGTCACTCAGCCACCGAGTCACTCAACCGCCCACTCACCTACCCCGTCGCTCACCAAACCAGTCGCTCACCCAATCACCCACCCGGCCGCTCACCCACCCGTTGTGAGTGATGAGGCACTGGCGTATCCCCAGCTTGCGGAAGACATCCACCACGATCTCCATGGGGGAGCGATCGTTCACGGTGAAGGGGCTCAGGTCCAGGATGGAGCGCAGCTTGAGGGGGGGTGGTGAGTCTGGGGCGAGCGATGGGGCATGGAGCCCAAAGTAGACCGGGGAGTGGCTCACCACACCATCGTCACGCTTCCTCGCATTCTCTATGCTCACACGGATGGGTTGGGGGTGGGTGAGTGAGTGTGTGAGTGAGTGGGCGGGCGAGTGGGCGGGCGAGTGGGTGAGTGAGTGTGTGAGTGAGTGGGTGGGCGGGCGAGTGGGTGGGTGGACGGGCGAGTGGGTGGGTGGGTGGGCGGGCGAGTGGGTGGGTGGGTGGGCGGGCGAGTGGGTGGGTGGGTGGGCGGGCGAGTGGGTGGGTGGGTGGGCGGGCGAGTGGGTGGGTGGGCGGGGCGAGTGGTTGGGTGGGTGGGCGGGCGAGTGGTTGGGTGGGTGGGAGGGCGAGTCGGTGGGTGGGCGGGCGAGTGAGTGAGTGGGTGGGTGGGTGGGCGGGCGGGCGGGTTGGTGGGCGGGTGGGTGGGCGGGTGGGTGGGCGAGCGGGCGGGTGGGCGGGCGGGCGAGTGGGTGGGTGGGTGGACGGGAGAGTGGGTGGATGGGCGAGTGGGTGGATGGGCGAGTGCACGCGCGTAGGTGGGTAGCCGCATGCAACCGCACGCACAATCTGGGCGCACACACACACACACCGCTCGCTACGCGTCATCCATGGCTATGGTGATGTTGTCTTTGATTGCTATGAGAATGATGACATTGATGTTGACGTTGATGATGACACTGATAAGGTTGATGATGAAGTTGGTATTGATGATTATGACATTGACGATGATGATGTTGATGGAATGGTTACCGATGGCGATGAGGAGGTCCCTGCGGAGCGCCAGGCCGACGAGTCTCTGAGATTCGGCGCAAACGACGACGGGAAATCCGTTATAGGTCGTCTCCCTCACCATCGTCTCCACCTCGTCCACCGTCATCCCGTCCTGAGACGCCAAGGAAACACCACGGGGACACCACAGAAACACAGACACACCACAGGGACACCACAGAGACACAGACACACCACAGGGACACAGACACACCACAGGGACACAGACACACCACAGGGACACCATGGGGACACCACGGGGACACCACAGAGACACAGACACATCATGGGGACACCACAGGGACACCACAGACACACCACGGGGACAACACAGGGACACAGAGACACCACAGACACACCACAGAGACACCACAGACACACCACGGGGACACCACAGGGACACAGAGACACCACAGACACACCACGGGGACACCACAGACACACCACAGAGACACCACGGACACACCACAAGGACACCACAGGGACACCACAGACACACCACAGAGACACCACAGGGACACCACAGACACACCACAGAGACACCACAGGGACACCAAAGACACACCACAGACACACCACAGGGACACAGAGACACCACAGACACACCACAGAGACACCACAGACACACCACAGACACACCACGGGGACAACACAGACACACCACAGACACACCACGGGGACACCACGGGGACACCACAGAGACACCACAGGGACACCACAGACACACCACAGAGACACCACAGAGACACCACAGACACACCACAGACACACCACAGACACACCAGAGGGACACAGACACCACAGAGACACCACAGACACACCACGGGGACACCACAGAGACACCACAGGGACACAGACACACCACAGACACACCACAGACACACCACAGAGACACCACAGAGACACCACAGAGACACCACAGAGACACCACAGACACACCACGGGGACAACACAGGGACACAGAGACACCACAGACACACCACGGGGACACCACAGACACACCACAGACACACCACGGGGACACCACAGAGACACCACAGGGACACCACAGACACACCACAGACACACCAGAGGGACACAGACACACCACAGAGACACCACAGACACCACACAGACACCACAGGGACACCACAGACACCACAGAGACACCACAGAGACACCACAGACACACCACAGACATACCACAGACATACCACAGACACACCAGAGGGACATAGACACCACAGAGACACCACAGACACACCACGGGGACACCACAGACACACCACAGAGACACCACAGGGACACAGACACACCACAGAGACACCACGGGGACACCACAGAGACACCACAGACACACCACAGAGACACCACAGAGACACCACAGACACACCACAGAGACACCACAGACATACCACAGACACACCAGAGGGACACAGACACCACAGAGACACCACAGACACACCACGGGGACACCACAGACACACCACAGACACACCACAGACACACCACAGACACACCACGGGGACACCACGGGGACACCACAGAGACACCACGGGGACACAGAGACGACACGGAGACACCACGGGGACACCACAGAGACACCAGAGACACCACAGACACACCACAGAGACACCACACACACACCACAGACACCACAGGGACACAGACACACCACAGGCACACAGACACACCACACACACACCACAGAGACACCACAGAGACACCACACACACACCACAGAGACACCACAGACACACCACAGAGACACCACAGACACACCACAGAGACACCACAGGGACACAGAGACGACACGGAGACACCACAGACACACCACGGGGACACCACAGACACACCACAGACACACCACGGGGACATGAGGTTTGGTCGTTTGGTAACCACCGGTTATTGTCAATCGCTGTCAGCGTCCACAGCATCTGCTTTAGCCCTTACATCTCTAGGTGGTGAGATGTTATCTCCTTTACCTGATGCACACGAGGTCGTGAGTTCGATCCCGACCCTGACGACGCCGGTGTTATATTTGGATTCTGCGTCTCTTTCTCCCCATGGTGGTCCCGTGGATTTGTCTCCGGGTCCTTCGTTTTTTCCTCGATGTTTAGAATCAACGTCACGTATTTTGCTGCTGCTATAAATTCCCACAGATAAGGCCCACTGAGCTATAGAGCTCTTTTTCAGAAGTGACCTGGTATCACAAAAGAAAGCTCAACGAAGTGGCTTCTCATTATCACGTGGACATTTATAGCAGCAGCCAAATACTCTAAACGTGTGACATCGATATCTTAAATGTGGAGGGAAAAATCCACGCAACCACCACGTGGAGAGAGACATGCAAACGCCAAATAAACAGCAGGCGTTAGTGGTCGGGATCGGACCAACAACCTCCTGTACACCAGGCGAGGTTGTTAACATCTCCTAGCCTTGTCTCCGTGTGCGTGCCGTGTCTCCGTGTCTCCGTGTGTCTTTGTGCGTGTGCCGTGTCTCTCCGTGTGTGTCTGTGTGTGTACGTGCCTGTGTGAGCAGGGCGAGCGGGGGGTCTGTGCGTCGAGGCCGCATGACGTCCGTGGCTAGCGTGGTGTGCGTGAACTCCTCCTTGGCGTCTAGGAAGGGGTAGCCGTTGAGCCGGATATGGGCATCGTAGATGCCCTCGCGCCCGAACGCGTCGCCCACCCACTTGCTCGTCATCACGGCCACCATGAGGGGCACGATGTACTCCAGTCCGCCCGTCAACTCGAACATGATGACCACCAGCGACACGGTCATGCGCGTCACGCCGCCTGGGTGCGTCACAACGAGACACGGAGACAGGGACACGGATGCGGAGACAGACACAGAGAGAGAGTGAGTGAGTGAGTGATGACCACCAGCGACACGGTCATGCGCGTCACACCGCCTGCGTGCATCTAGAGGTGTGCAGATGCGGGGCGTCACAACCACAAACGGGGACAGAGACACTTGAGTGGTGAGTGAGTGTCACAGTGAGCGAGTAGCGAGCGAGCGAGTGTTACAGCGAGCGAGCAGCGAGTGAGCGAGTAGCGAGCGAGCGAGCGAGTGTGCGAGCGGGTTACCGAGGCAGGCTGCTGCCCCCACCATGGCGTAGAGGCCCGGGGTGACGCAAGTGGTGCCAGGCCGGCACCAGTCAGAGAACAGCTCAGGCTGGGCCAGCACCAGCTGCTCCACGCCGATGCCCAGCATGCGGCCGGCGATCGCCCCCACGGCCATGCTGGGAATGAACAGCCCCGAGGGCACCTGCACAGCGCCAACGGACAGTCACGCAGTTACACCAACACACAGTCACACCAATACAGCCACACCAACAATAAAAAAAGACAAAGATCCCCCCCCCCCCCCCCCGTAGAGCCTTAACAGACTGTTGGGGCAAGTGCCGTTAGCGAGCACCTGTGGAGGCCGGAACGGCACACGTGGGGGGTGGGTGGCTGGCAACCACGCACGGCCGTCTTCGTCTCCCCAGTGGCGATGGTTATACACTGCACCAGGTACTCGTATGGGGATGCCTAAGACGGTTTCAGATCATTGTTACTGGTGTTGGCCGTGAGCAGGAATCAAACTCGGGGCGTCGGGTGAAATGTCGAAACCTCGTTGACAGGGGGTCTTGGGACAGACCCAGGTGCCATGGGTTGGTTGACTGAGATGACCTGTAAATGCATCAGCTGTAAACCCCCACTGTGCCAACTTTCTGCATTTTAGCCACCCAGCGCTCTGCGCGTCGTTGTGAGCGTCGCTCCTCTGCCCTCTGTTGTTGCTGGACAGCGACTGCCTCCAACTGCCCAGTAGCAGCAGCAGCGGCGTCCTTCACGAGCCTCCTCCACAGAGGCCGATCTTGACACCGCTGGTACCGGTCATCGGCAAGTCCACTCAGCTCCACATCCTCCCGTACCGCATCACTCCATCTCTTCTCTAGCCCGTGTCGCACCCGTTTAGCCCCCTCTATTGCGGCCTAACAAAAGCTGCTTGGGCATGCAGTGGCTAGGCATGCAGGCTACATGACTCAGCCAACAGCCTTGCCTGCCGGAGCTCACTGATAGGAATGTGTTCAGATCTTTCAAGGATTTGTGATCTCTTCACACAATCCAGCCTGGTTAAATCCAGGATGCATCGCAGGCATGCCAGCCTAAATGTCTCTAACCAGCGCAGATGTTCCATTAGAGGGATCCATGTTTCACAAGCATATAGAAGGGACGGCATGACTGTGGCCGAGAAGACCCGAAGCTTCATGCGGAGCGACAGACCAGGTAGGTTCCGCACAGCATTGCACTGCCGATGAAAAGATAATGCCGCCCGACTGATTCGGAATGAGACCTCTGCTGTCAAACCAGAGCCGGTCATAAGCACACTGCCCAGGTAAGGGACACTCTCCACTCTCTCCACAACTGCCCCGTCACCAAAGGGGAGCTGAGGGGGAGGAGTGGTTGGTGGCACAAAATACCCAGGCAGGTGCTGAGTTTTGCTGGGGCTTATTGTAAGACCCCCACCTCTTAGTGGGACACTCCAGTTTCAGCAGCAGTGCCTCCAACTCCTCCTCTGAGTGAGCAGCAACCACCAGATCATCAGCATACGTAACATGGTCGACGGCACCCGGGCATAGATCAGCCTCCAATTGAATCTGTACCAGATGAAAATTCATCCCATACAGCTATGGGCAGCTTCTCGAACTACGTGGTCAAAGACGATTTTAAATAATGTGGGAGCCAGAGGACATCCCTGTTGCACCCCACGGTGAACAGGGAATGGCTCTGCTTCCTGGCCATGTAGCTTTACCCGGGCCTGCCCACCATCATGAAGGCCCTTAACGATTGTGAGCAGAGGGTCAGGGACTGTGCTCAGCCCAGGCCTACCGATGGTATCATAGGTCTTGACCAGGTCAATAAAGCAGAGATGTAGGTCTTGTTGGGATTCTCTACACCTCTGCTGTAGCAGACGGACAGAGAATATGGCATCCGTGCAGGGCCTCGCAAGGCAATGTTGAATATTCCTTGCCAGGACCTTTCCCGGCACACTGAGGAGTGAGATGCCCCTGTAGTTGTTACAGTCTGTGCGGTCCCCATTCTTAAAGAGGGGGACCACCACGGCATACTTCCAATCCTGCGGAACTCGTCCTGTGGTCCAGGCGGTTGTGATAATGTCATGTAGGGCAATCTCCAAACAGATGCCACCCTCCCTCAGCATTTCGCTTGGGAGAGCGTCTCTGCCCGGCGCCTTTCCTGGTCTCAGACTTCAGATCGCCCCTTGCACTTCCTCCACAGATGGCACCTCAAGCCAACCACTCGGAAGGGGTGGCTACTTCTGCCAATATTTGAGGCACGGCAGCGCTAGCAGGGTCGTCCCCACCTTGCCCCATGATATTGTCTGGGCTGAGCGAATTCCCCTCCCCCAAAACCTCACATAAATGCTCTGCCAACCTGCAGACCCGTCCCTGGGGGTCGGAGATTGTGTTACCATTGTTTCCGTTAAGGATGGTGATAGGTGAGGTGCTGCAAGTTACTTTTTTTGATGGAATTAAATAGTGATTTGTGATTCCGCCCTCACCACTCATCCTTGCAGCGCGCCGCACGGCTCTCCGAATCTCCGAGCGAAGGCTACGGTAAGCCTCCTCATTCTCTGATGTTGGATTTTGTAGACGACGGGAGTGGGCCTGTCATTTTCTCTCAACCAGCCGGAACACCTCCTCCTTCAACCAGGGTCTCTGGGGAGGTCTGGACCATGTACCCAATGCAGCCATTGCAGCTGCATGAGCCACAGTCCTGAACCTCACCCAGGGGGGCGCGATGCTAACCCCAGCTACAAGCGATGTTGAAATGTCTGCTTGCAACTATCCTCAGCTATCTGAGACCAGGCCACTGTGGTTTTAAATGGGGTCCTAGATGGACACCCATCACCGGAGTGGAAGAATGGCAGGCACATCTTACAAATCACCAGCTGATGGTCAGTGGGCAGGTCAGCTGCACGGTAAGTCCTAGAGACACTAACACACCAACAGTCACAGTCACAGCATCACACAGTCACGCCAACGCACAGGGTCACACAGTTACACCGCAGTCACAGTCACACCAACAGCGTCACAGTCAGACCGTACACCTCCCACACGCCCCCCTCACACCCACCCCACACACCCTACTCACCACCCCCCATTCACTCAAACCGCACACCCCCCCACACACCCCACCCTCCACACTCCCCCCCATACACCCGACTCACAAACCCCTCCCCACACACACCACACACGCCACCCCCCTCACCACCCAACCACCGCACCTTCATGCCGAACGTGAAGACGGTGACCACCACCTTGAAGGCGAGCGCCAGGCCCAGCTTCCACAGGGCCGCGTAGACCCCCGGTCCGGCGGCCCCTCGCTCCGGCACGCCGGCCGTGCTGTTGGGGCCCCCGGCCGCGGTCGCGTAGTCGCACAGCTCGGCGGCCTCCAGCGGCCCGCAGTCCCGGAAGAGGTCGCGGATGAGCTGGCCGGTGCCCCGGCGCGTGTACGGGTTGGGGAAGGCCAGCGCGGCCGTCGCGGCCGCCACAGCCAGCACCTCGAGCGCCGGGTGGCGGCCCAGCCGGCCCGCGGGGCCCCGGCGGCGCAGGTGGCACCAGGCGATGTTGGCGCGGATGAAGGCGGCGCCCCAGAGGCCCCCGAAGGCGCCCAGGGCCAGGAAGGGTGCCAGCTCGGGCAGCGACCACGGGGCGTGGAACTCGACGTAGAAGAGCACCAGGCGGCTGTCCCCGAACGGGTTGATGGCGCGCAGCACGAACGCAGCCACCAGGGCCGCGAAAAACGAGCGCCACAGCGTCTTGAGCGGGAAGTAGTAGCTCACCTGGTGAGGGTGAGGGGCGATGAGGAGGAGGAGGGAGAGAGAGGAAGTAGTAGCTCACCTGGTGAGGGTGAGGGGCGACGAGGAGGAGGAGGAGGAGGAGGAGGGAGAGAGAGGAAGTAGTAGCTCACCTGGTGAGGGTGAGGGGCGACGAGGAGGAGGAGGAGGAGGGAGAGAGAGGAAGTAGTAGCTCACCTGGTGAGGGTGAGGGGCGATGAGGAGGAGGGAGAGAGAGGAAGTAGTAGCTCACCTGGTGAGGGTGAGATGGTGAGATGGAGATAGTGAGGTAGTAGTAGCTCACCTGGTGAAGTGAGCTACTTCCTTGAGATTCTGTGAGTCCCTGTAGTCCCCATGAGTACCTTAGTTCCTGAGTCCCCATGAGTGAGTCCCTGTGAGTCCCTCTAAGCCCTGAGTATCCCTGAGTCCCTCCGAGTTCCCGTGAGTCCCTCCGAGTCCCCGTGAGTCCCTCCAAGTTCCCGTGAGTCCCTCCGAGTCCCCGTGAGTCCCCGTGAGTCCCCGTGAGTCCCTGTGAGTCCCCGTGAGTCCCCGTGAGTCCCCGTGAGTCCCCGTGAGTCCCTGTGAGTGACCTCTTCGAGGCTGAAGAGAACGCCCCCAATGGGCGCTCCAAACGCCACGGAGACCCCCGCAGCAGACGCAGCGGAAAGAACCTTAAAACAGACACAGACACAGGACCCCCAGGTAGCCTCTCATAGACTGTTGGGGCAAGTGCTGTTAGCCAGTCACACAGACACAGGTCTCCCAGATAGCCTTAACAGTTCAATATACATATATGCACATCATACACACCGTACACAACGTCATACATGGCATCATACACACCATACACGACATCATACACACCTCTATGTGAGTATGTGTATGTGTATCTCTGTGTCTCTGCGTGTCTCTGCGTGTCTGTGTCCCCGTATCTGTGTCTCTGTTTGCTGTGTGTGTATCTCTGTGTATGTCTGTGTCTCTGTGTGTGTGTGTCTGTGTGTGCCTGTGTGTCTGTGTGTGTCTGTGTGTCTCTGTGTGTGTCTCTGTGTGTGTGTCTGTGTGTCTGTGTGTGTGTGTGTGTTAAAGATCTCTTTATCTTTGTTTGTGTGCGTCTCTGTGTGTGTGTGTGTCTCTGTGTGTGTGTCTGTGTGTGTGTGTCTCTGTGTGTGTGTCTCTGTGTGTGTGTGTGTCTCTGTGTGTGTGTGTGTGCGTGCGGCAAAACAACCCCCTACCTCCTCGCGGTGCCGGACGGGCAACTCTGTCGTGGACAGTGCTGTGGGGGGAGGTCCAATTTTGATTGGCTCCTCCCCTCATGGCATATGTGTCCACCAAAGGGGCTAAACGTGGGCTCTGGACGGGTGCGAGGGGCTGGTAACCCCTCCACCTTCAATTAATTACCACTAAACCACGAGTTAAACTGAAATATGTAACTAATAAGCTTGTGCCAGAGGCCCCGTGGGGCCAGGCGTCTATGACGTCTTCTGGCCAAACCCCAATTGGCGGAGCCAGGAGATTGAATATCTACCCTCAGGGCTCCTCCAGAAACAACGAAAAGCCACTACGGGTGGCCACGTGGAATGTTCGAAGGCTCACTGTGGAGGAGAGGCTGCCACTCCTCTGTCGGGAGCTGGACCGGTACCGCCTGGATCTATGTGGCATTCAGGAGATCCGGTGGACCGGCTCTGGCTCCTGCCACCATGAGGGGTGGACAGTCCTCTACTCGGGGCAGCAGACTGCCAAACAACAGGGTGTGGCTCTTCTTTTGAACAAAAGAATGAAGGGGGCGTGGGAGCGTGGTGGTGAGGTGTGGGAAGTTGTAAGTCCCAGGCTACTTTGGACTCGCCTTCCCATCAACCGGAGGTGAGGAATGGTGGTCGTGGTTACTTATGCCCCCACCGAAGATGAACATCCGTGGAGGGATGCAGGCAAAGCCGATGAGTCAGATGCCTTCTATGACCTCCTGTCATAGGTGCTGGCTAAAGTGGCCCCTCGGGATAGAGTCATCATGTTGGGTGACTTCAATGCCCGAGTTGGTCATGATACTGGCACCTGGTCTGGAGTGATTGGAGGGCATGGGCCAGATCAGCTCATTAACAACGGTAGGAGGCTGCTAGATTTTTGTGCAGCCCATGGGCTTGTAATTACCAACACGCTGTTCCGGCATCGGCGCATCCACACAACATCATGGATGCATGCCGGGTCCAAGCAAGAACATCTGCTGGACTACATAGTGACGGACCAGCGGATGCGAGCCCATGTCCTTGACACCAGGACCTACCGTGGAGCTGATCTGCCCTCTGACCATCGACTAGTCATCTGTAAGATGCGCCTGCCATTCTTCCACTCCGGTGGTGGGTGTACACCCAGGACCCCATTCCAGCCTAAAGTGGCCTGGTCTCAGTTATCTGATGAAAGTTGCAAGCGAGAATTTCATCATCGCTTGCGGCTGGGATTGGCATCGTCCCCGACTCCTCCTGATGTCGAGGGTAAATGGGCGAGGTTTAGGACTGTGACTCATGCAGCTGCAATGGCTGCTTTGAGTACGCGGTCCAGACCTCCCCAGAGACCCTGGCTGACAGAGGAGGTGTTCAGGATGGTTGAGAAAAAGCGACAGGCCCACTGTCATTGGCTACAGAATCCCACGTCAGAGAATGAGGAGGCTTACCGCAGCCTTCGCTCGGAGGTTCGGAGAGCCGTGAGGCGCTGCAAGGATGGGTGGTGGTCGCGGGTTGCTGAGGAGATGGAGTCTGCCTCAGTGGCCCGTGATCACAAATCTCTATTTAACTCCATCAAAAAAGTAACCTGCAGCGCCACACCTATTACCATCATTAGGGGAAAAAACGGTGATCCAATCTCCGACCCCCAGGAACAGGTTTGCAGATTTGCTGAGCATTTCTGTGAGGTCCTGGGGGAGGGAAAATCCCTCAGCCAGGAAAACATCGTGGCACAAAGTGAGGATGACCCTGCTGAGGCTGCGGTGCCTCAAATATTGGAAGAAGTCACCCCCTGTGAGTGGCTGGCTGAGGTGCCATCTGTTGAGGAAGTACTGAAGGCGATCCGGAGTCTGAGACCAGGAAAGGCAGCGGGCAGAGATGATCTCCCAAGCGAAATGCTGAGGGAGGGCGGCGTTTGTGCACAGACTGCCCTATATGACATCATAACAACAGTCTGGACCACTGGACGGGTTCCGCAGGATTGGAAGGGGGACCGCACAGACTGTAACAACTACAGGGGCGTCTCACTCCTCAGTGTGCCGGGAAAGGTCCTGGCAAGGATTATTCAACATCGCCTTGCCAGGCACGCTGAGGAGAGGCTTGCGGAGCCCCAATGCGGTTTCAGGAAAGGGCGGTCCTGCACAGATGCCATATTTTCTGTCCGTCTGCTAAAGCAGAGGTGTAGGGAATTCCAACAAGACCTACATCTCTGCTTTATTGACCTGGTCAAGGCCTATGATACCATCAGTAGGCCTGGGCTCTGGGTTGTTCTTCGTGCTTTTGGAGTACCTGACCCTCTGCTCACGATCATTAAGGACCTTCATAATGGTGAGCGGGCCCGGGTAAAACTACGTGGCTGGGAGTCAGAGCCATTCCCTGTACACCTTGGGGTACGACAGGGATGTCCTCTGGCTCCCACATTATTTAACATCTATTTTGACCACATAGTTCGTGAAGCCTTCAATAGCTGTACCGGGGGAATCTCCATATGGTACAGATATAATGGGAGGCTGATCGATGCCCGGGTGCGGTCAAGGGATGGCTCCCTATTGCTCAACCACGTTATGTATGCTGATGATTTGGTAATAGCTGCTCATTCAGAGGAGGAGTTGGAGACGCTGCTGCTGAGACTGGAGCGTGCCACTAAGAGGTGGGGCCTTACCATCAGCCCCACCAAAACTAAGCACCTGCCTGGGTATTTTGTACCATCGGACACTCCATCCCCACAACTCCCAATCGGTGATGGGGCAGTTGTGGAGAGAGTGGAGAGTTTCCCATACCTGGGCAGTGTGCTTATGACTGGCTCCAGTTTAACAGCAGAGGTCTCACTCCGAATCAGTCGAGCGGCAATATCTTTTCATCGGTTGCGTAACGCTGTGTGGAAGCTACCTGGTCTGTCGCTCCGCACTAAGCTTCAGGTCTTCTCGACCACGGTCATTCCCTCCCTTCTCTACGCTTGCGAAACGTGGACCCCCTAATGGAACATCTTCGCCGGTTAGAAACATTTAGGCTGGCCTGCCTACGATCCATCCTGGGTTTAACCAGACTGGATTGTGTGAGGAGCTCACAAATCCTTGAAAGATCTGGGCAGGGTCCCATAGGTGGGCTCCTCCGGCGGGGAAGGCTGCGATGGCTGGGTCATGTAGCCCGCATGCCCAGCCACCGCATGCCGAAACAGCTTTTGTTCAGCCGGATTGAGGGGGCTAAGCGGGCGCGGCACAGGCTAGAGAGGAGATGGAGTGATGTGGTACAGGAGGACGTGGAGTTGAGTGGACTTGCCGATGACTGGTACCAGTGGTGTCAAGATCGGCCTCTGTGGAGGAGGCTCGTGAAGGATGCTACTGGGCAGTTGGAGGTAGTCGCCCTCCAACAACAACGGAGGGCGGAGGAGCGACGCTCAGAACAACGAGCGGAGCGCCGGGTGGCTAAAGCACAGCAGGTTGGCACAGTAGGGGGCACAGGTGGTGCATCAGCCAGTCATCTCAGTCAGTCGACCCGTGGCACCTGGGTCTGCCCCGTGACCTCCTGCCAGCGGGCGTTCGACACTTCACGTGGCCTCAGGGTGCACATAGCCTGGCACAAGCGTCGTGGTGACGTCACTGCCACTTAGTGGCGAATGGCGGTTGTTGTTGTTGTGTCTCTGTGTGTGTCTCTGTGTGTGTGTCTCTGTGTGTGTGTGTCTGTGTGTCTCTGTGTGTCTGTGTGTGTCTGTGTGTGTCTGTGTGTGTGTGTGTGCGTCTCTGTGTGTGTGTCTCTGTGTGTGTGTCTAACCTCTCTTCTCTTGGCCTCGTTGCTACGGTACTTGGGGAATGCGTGTGACACGATGTCTCTGTGTGTGTCTGTGTGTCTCTGTGTGTGTGTCTGTGTGTGTCTCTGTGTGTGTGTCTCTGTGTGTGTGTCTCTGTATGTGTGTCTCTGTATGTGTGTCTCTGTGTGTGTGTCTGTGTGTGTCTGTGTGTGTGTCTCTGTGTGTGTCTCTGTGTGCGTCTCTGTGTGCGTCTCTGTGTGTGTGTCTAACCTCTCTTCTCTTGGCCTCGTTGCTACAGTACTTGGGGAATGCGTGTGACACGATGTCTCTGTGTGTGTGTCTGTGTGTGTCTCTGTGTGTGTGTCTGTGTGTGTCTCTGTGTGTGTCTGTGTGTGTCTCTGTGTGTGTCTGTGTCTCTGTGTGTGTGTCTCTGTGTGTGTGTCTCTGTGTGTGTGTCTGTGTGTCTCTGTGTCTGTGTCTCTGTGTGTGTGTCTCTGTGTGTGTCTCTGTGTGTGTGTCTGTGTGTCTCTGTGTGTGTGTCTCTGTGTGTGTGTCTCTGTGTGTGTCTGTGTGTGTCTCTGTGTATCTGTGTGTGTATCTGTGTGTGTGTATCTGTGTGTGTGTCTGTGTGTGTGTCTGTGTGTCTCTGTGTGTCTGTCTCTGTGTGTGTGTCTCTGTGTGTGTGTCTGTGTGTGTGTCTGTGTGTGTGTCTATGTGTGTGTCTGTGTGTCTCTGTGTGTGTATCTCTGTGTGTGTGTCTCTGTGTGTGTGTCTAACCTCTCTTCTCTTGGCCTCGTTGCTACGGTACTTGGGGAATGCGTGTGATGCGATGTTCCCGCAGCAGCAAGCGACGTGCACCAGCGGTCCCTCCTTGCCCAGGCTGAGGCCCGAGGAGACGGCCAGCACCAGCGTCACCACCTTCACCAGCAGCGTCCACTTGCCCAGGTATCCCCGGATGATGAAGCCGCTGAGGATCGTCTTGATCTGTTAACAGCCACGACGACGATGAATCGTCAACAACAACGTCAACAACGATAACAACAACGACATCAACAACGACAAACACAAGAACGACATCAACAACAAGAACGACATCAACAATGATGTTATTGATGTTGTTGATGTTAGTTACATACAGCGACGACGACGACATCAACGTCAGCTGAGGTCTCACTTCGAATCAGTCGGGCGCCATTGTTAACTCTCCATCGGCTGGTGGTGATGTTGATAGTTATGGTGTTGATAGTGGTGATGTGGATGGTGATGATGGCGGTGATGTTGGTGGTGACTGTGTTGATGACATCACCTCGGGTATTCCCGACCCACACGCGTAGGGAGCGAACGTCCGCACGAGGCTCACGGCCGCCACGGCGAGCAGCACGGCGAGGACCACATAGAGAGTGTAGTCCAACGTGTATGCACCAGGACCCTGCACAAAGAGGGGGGTAGTGGATCACACGACATCTCCCAGTCTCTCCCCCGCGTCTCTCCCCCCACGTCTCTCCCCCGCGTCTCTCCCCCGCGTCTCTCCCCCCTGGATCTCCCCCCGCGTCTCTCCCACGCGTCTCTCCCCCGCGTCTCTCCCCCGCGTCTCTCCCCCCTGGATCTCCCCCGCGTCTCTCCCCCGCGTCTCTCCCCCGCGTCTCTCCCCCGCGTCTCTCCCCCGCGTCTCTCCCCCGCGTCTCTCCCCCGCGTCTCTCCCCCGCGTCTCTCCCCCGCGTCTCTCCTCCGCGTCTCTCCCCCCGCGTCTCTCCCCCCGCGTCTCTCCCCCCGCGTCTCTCACCGTGGCGTCCCCCAGCATGAGCTGTGCCCACGATCGCCACTTGGGGCAGCTGTCCCTCTCTTCAAACGTCGTCTCGTTGGAGTCCCAGCAGCACTGCTCCCGGTTGTACCACAGCTCCCCCACACAGACTCCCTCCTTGACGTCTGACAGCCAGTCGGATACGATGTCTATCAACCCAGCCAGTGCGCCTGGGAGAGACGAGTGGGAGACACGGGAAGAGATGGGGGAGACACGGGAAGAGATGGGGGAGACACGGGAAGAGATGGGGGAGACACGGGGACAGATACGGAGTGAGACATGGGGAGAGATACACAGGAGAGACACGCGGGGGACACACGGAGAGAGACACGAGGAAGAGACAGGAGGGGGAGACACGTGGGGGAGACGATGGAGGGGGGGGTGGAGACACACGGGGAGAGAGGGAGACAGAGATAAACACAGTGAGACAGAGAACTAAAACTAAAAACTCCAGTGGCGATTTCCCTCGCCTGGTTTACAGGAGGTCACGGGTTCGATCCTGACCCTGTTGATGCCTGCTGTATCGGTGCAGTCTGCATCCCTCTCTCCCTGTGGTGGTCACGTGGAGTTTTCTCCGGATCCTCCCGTTTTTCCCTCCACGTGTCAATTTCCACGTTGAGCTATCATTTGTGGCCAGGTGGCTTCTAAAAAAAGAGCTACATAGCTCAGTGGGCCTCATTTGATAAAATAACAAAAGTTAGTACAGTGAGGGAAAAAAGTATTTGATCCCCTGCTGATTTTGTACGTTTGCCCACTGACAAAGAAATTATCAGTCTATAATTTTAATGGTATGTTTATTTGAACAGTGAGAGACAGAATAACAACAACAAATCCAGAAAAACGCATGTCAAAAAATTTATAAATTGATTTGCATTTTAATGAGGGAAATAAGTGTTTGACCCCTCTGCAAAACATGACTTAGTACTTGGTGGCAAACCCCTTGTTGGCAATCACAGAGGTCAGACGTTTCTTGTAGTTGGCTACCAGGTTTGCACACATCTCAGGAGGGATTTTGTCCCACTCCTCTTTGCAGATCTTCTCCAAGTCATTAAGGTTTTGAGGCTGATGTTTGGCATTAAGGTCTGGAGACTGGCTAGGCCACCCCAGGACCTTAATGTGCTTCTTCTTGAGCCACTCCTTTATTGCCTTGGCCGTGTGTTTTGGGTCATTGTCATGCTGGAATACCCATCCACAACCCATTTTCAATGCCCTGGCTGAGGGAAGGAGGTTCTTACCCAAGATTTGACGGTACATGGCCCCGTCCATCGTCCCTTTGATGCGGGGAAGTTGTCCTGTCCCCTTAGCAGAAACACACCCCCAAAGCATAATGTTTCCACCTCCATGTTTGACGGTGGGGATGGTGTTCTTGGAGTCATAGGCAGCATTCCTCCTCCTCCAAACACGGCGAGTTGAGTTGATGCCAAAGAGCTCCATTTTGGTCTCATTTTCACCCAGTTGTCCTCTGAATCATTCAGATGTTCATTGGCAAACTCTCAGACGGGCATGTATATGTGCTTTCTTGAGCAGGGGGACCTTGTGGGCACTGCAGGATTTCAGTCCTTCACGGCGTAGTGTGTTACCAATTGTTTTCTTGGTGACTATGGTCCCAGCTGCCTTGAGATCATTGACAAGATCCTCCTGTGTAGTTCTGGGCTGATTCCTCACCGTTCTCATGATCATTGCAACTCCATGAGGTGAGATCTTGCATGCAGCCCCAGGCCGAGGGAGATTGACAGTTCTTTTGTGTTTCTTCCATTTGCGAATAATCGCACCAACTGTTGTCACCTTCTCACCAAGCTGCTTGGCAATGGTCTTGTAGCCCATTCCAGCCTTGTGTAGGTCTACAATCTTGTCCCTGACATCCTTGGAGAGCTCTTTGGTCTTGGCCATGGTGGAGAGTTTGGAATCTGATTGATTGATTGCTTCTGTGGACAGGTGTCTTTTATACAGGGAACAAGCTGAGATTAGGAGCACTCCCTTTAAGAGTGTGCTCCTAGTCTCAGCTAGGAGAGGGGGTCAAATATGTATTTCCCTCATTAAAATGCAAATCAATTTGTAACATTTTTGACATGCGTTTTTCTGGATTTTTTTGTTATTCTGTCTCTCACTGTTCAAATAAACCTACCATTAAAATTATAGACTGATCATTTCTTTGTCAGTGGGCAAACGTACAAAATCAGCAGGGGATCAAATACTTTTTTTCCCTCACTGTATATAACATACAATGAGTTGAGTTTAATGAGCCAACACCACCACCACCATTCCTCTCCTCCCGTTGATGGGGAGGCAAGCCCACATCAGCATGGGACTCACAGCTTCCCCAACCTCACCACCTCATTCCTTTTGTCCAAAAGAAGAGACACTGCATGCTCATTGGCAGATTCGTGCCCTGAGTGGATAACTGTCCAACCCTCATGGTGACTGGGGCCAGAACCGGTCGACCAGACCTCCTGAAATACCAGAGCTCCAGGCGGAACTGGTCCAGCTCCCGAGAGAGGAGTAGGCAGCCTCTCCTCCGCAGTGACCGTTCGGACATTCCATGTGGCCACTCGCAGTGTTGTCCTGCTGTTTCTGGAGCAACCAATGGGCAGGCGATGAGGTTAGTCTCCTGGGTTTGGCCAGGAGAGATCACAAGCGCCTGTCCGACCAGGACCTCCGGCACGAGCTTATTTTTCTCTTTACAATGCCGTCTTTCATTGATGTTGGGAGGGGGTCACCAACCCCCTCACACCCATCCAGAGCCCACGCTTTGGGACACTGCGGTGGATGTGAGCGCACTGAGGGTAGCAGCCCATTAGCAACAGCTGATTAGGAACAGCCGATTGGCAACGATCGATTAGCAACGGTCGATTAGCAATAGCTATTCACAAGAATTGATTAGCAACAGATGGGGGAATGATGCCAGCCCCAGATCAGCTAGACAAGACTAGGCTACTGTGGGTATGAGCGGGGGTCCTTGATGGATTTTATTGCCACCACTGTCTGACTGTGACTGTCACTGTCCCACTGTGACAGTAGAAAGTTCAGCTCCACGGCAAATCCTGGTGTCAAGGACATAGGCCCGCATCCGATGTTCCGTTACTTACTAGTCCAGCAGATGTTCTTGCTTGGCCTCGGCGTGCATCCACGATGTGGTGTGGATACGCCAATGCTGGAACAGCGTCTTGGTGTTTACAAGCCCATGGGCTGCACAGAAGTCTACCAGCCTCCTGCCGTTGTTATTGAGCTAACCTGGCCCATGGCTTCCAATCACTCCAGCCCAGGTGTCTGTGTCATGACCCAAAAAGCCACTGCGAGTGTCCACGTGCAATACTCGAATGCCCACTGTGAAGGAGGAGAGGCTGCCACTCCTCTGTCAGAAGCTGACCTGGTACTGCCTGGATCTCTGCGGCATTCAGAAGATCCAGTGGACAAGTTCTGGCTCCAGTCACCATGAGGGGTGGACAGTCATCTACTCAGGACAAGAGACTGCCAAACAACAGGGAGTGGCTCTTCTTCTGAACTAAAGAATGAAGGGGGTGTTGTGGGAGTGTGGTAGTGAGGTGTGGGAATCTGTGAGTCCCAGGCTAACGTGGGCTCGCTTCCCCATCCACATGAAAGGTGGTGATGGTGGTTGGTTACACCCCCACCAAAATTTAACATCAGTGGAGGGATGCAGACAAGGCCAATGAGTCAGATGCCTTCTATTACCTCCTGTCACAGCTGTTAGCTAAAGTGGCCCTTGGGATAGAATCATCCTGTTGGCTGACTTTAATGCCCATAGTGGGCCATGATGCAAACACTTGGGCTGGACTGACTGGAGGGCATGGGCCGGATCAGCTGAATAAGTACAGTATGTACAGTATGTACTTATTGTTGAACTTCTTTCGCACCGTACGTAGCCAACTGTGCTGCTAGTCGGAGGTGCAGGGGAACGAAGACAAACAGTCACAGTCAGACAGTCACAGTCAGACAGTGACAGTGGGACAGTCACAGTCAGACAGTCACAGTCACAGTGGGACAGTCACAGTCACAGTCAGACAGTCACAGTCAGACAGTGACAGTGGGACAGTCACAGTCAGACAGTCACAGTCGCACACAGTGGGACAGTCACAGTCAGACAGTGACAGTCACAGTCACAGTCACACAGTCAGACAGTGGGACAGTCACAGTCAGTCACAGTGAGACAGTCACAGTCAGACATTCACAGTCAGACAGTCAGTCACAGTCACACAGTCAGACAGTGGGACAGTCACAGTCAGTCACAGTGAGACAGTCACAGTCAGACAGTCACAGTCAGACAGTCAATCACAGTCACACAGTCAGACAGTGGGAGAGTCACAGTCAGTCACAGTGAGACAGTCACAGTCAGACAGTTAGTCACAGTCACACAGTCAGACAGTGACAGTCACAGTGGGACAGTCACAGTCACAGTCAGACAGTCAGAGTCACAGTTGCACACAGTGGGACAGTGACAGCGAGGCTGTGGTAGAGTCCCAGAAGGAGTGGCACGGGTTACCAGCGGAGATCCCGACGAGAGGGGACAGTGACAGTCACAGTGGGACAGTCACAGTCAGACAGTCACAGTGACAGTGGGACACAGTGGGACAGTGACAGTGAGGCTGTGGTAGAGTCCCAGAAGGAGTGGCACGGGTTACCAGCGGAGATCCCGACGAGGGGGGACAGTGACAGTCACAGTGGGACAGTCACAGTCAGACAGTCACAGTGACAGTGGGACACAGTGGGACAGTGACAGCGAGGCTGTGGTAGAGTCCCAGAAGGAGTGGCACGGGTTACCAGCGGAGATCCCGACGAGGGTGACGACGAGCCAGCCGGACCACGCGTCAAAAACACTCCTCACAAAGTTCCACACCGACTCACGCCTCCTGCTTGTGATCTACACACACACAGAGACACACACAGACAACAACAACAACAACAACCGCCATTCACCACTAAGTGGCGGTGACGTCACCACGACGCTTGTGCCAGGCCATGTGCACCCTGAGGCCACGTGAAGTGTCGAACGCCCGCTGGCAGGAGGTCATGGGGCAGACCCAGGTGCCACGGGTCCACTGACTGAAATGCACCACCTGTGCCCCCTACTGTGCCAACCTGCTGTGCTTCAGCCACCCGGCGCTCCGCTCGTTGTTGTGAGCGTCGCTCCTCCGCCCTCCGTTGTTGTTGGAGGGCAACTGCCTCCAACTGCCCAGTAGCGTCCTTCACGAGCCTCCTCCACAGAGGCCGATCTTGACACCGCTGGTACCAGTCATCGGCAAGTCCACTCAGCTCCACGTCCTCCTGTGCCACGTCACTCCATCTCTTCTCTAGCCCGTGCCGTGCCCGTTTAGTCCCCTCAATCCGGCCGAACAAAAGCTGTTTCGGCATGCGGTGGCTGGGCATGCGGGCTACATGACCCAGCCATCGCAGCCTTGCCTGCCGGAGGAGCTCACCGATGGGACCTTGCCCAGATCTTTCAAGGATTTGTGAGCTCCTCACACAATCCAGCCTGGTTAAACCCAGGATGGATCGTAGGCAGGCCAGCCTAAATGTTTCCAACCGGCGAAGATGCTCCATTAAGGGGGTCCACGTTTCGCAAGCGTAGAGAAGGGAGGGAATGACCGTGGCCGAGAAGACCTGAAGCTTAGTGCGGAGCGACAGACCAGGTAGCTTCCACACAGCGTTACGCAACCGATGAAAAGATATTGCCGCTCGACTGATTCGGAGTGAGACCTCTGCTGTTAAACTGGAGCCAGTCATAAGCACACTGCCCAGGCATGGGAAACTCTCCACTCTCTTCACAACTGCCCCATCACTGATTGGGAGTTGTGGGGGTGGAGTGTCCGATGGTACAAAATACCCAGGCAGGTGCTTAGTTTTGGTGGGGCTGATGGTAAGGCCCCATCTCTTAGTGGCACGCTTCAGTCTCAGCAGCAGCGTCTCCAACTCCTCCTCTGAATGAGCAGCTATTACCAAATCATCGGCATACATAACGTGGTTGAGCAATAGGCAGCCATCCCTTGACCGCACCCGGGCATCGATCAGCCTACCATTATATCTGTACCATATGGAGATTCCCCCGGTACAGCTAATGAAGGCTTCACGAACTACGTGGTCAAAATAGATGTTAAATAATGTGGGAGCCAGAGGACATCCCTGTCGCACCCCAAGGTGTACAGGGAATGGCTCTTGACTCCCGGCCACGTAGTTATACCCGGGCCCGCTCACCATCATGAAGGTCCTTAATGATCGTGAGCAGAGGGTCAGATACTCCAAAAGCACGAAGAACAACCCAGAGCCCAGGCCTGTTGATGGTATCATAGGCCTTGACCAGGTCAATAAAGCAGAGATGTAGGTCTTGCTGGAATTCCCTACACCTCTGCTGTAGCAGACGGACAGAAAATATGGCATCTGTGCAGGACCGCCATTTCCTGAAACCGCATTGGGGCTCCGCAAGCCTCTCCCTCAGCGTGCCTGGCAAGGCGATGTTGACTAATCCTTGCCAGGACCTTTCCCAGCACACTGAGGAGTGAGATGCCCCTGTAGTTGTTACAGTCTGTGCGGTCCCCCTTCTTAAAGAGGGGGACCACCAGAGTCACACACACAGAGACACACACAGAGACACACACAGATACCAACAACCGCCATTCGCCACTAACTGGCGGTGACGTCACCACGACGCTTGTGCCAGGCACACACACAGACACACACACACAGAGTCACACACAGAGTCACACAGAGTCACACACACAGAGTTACACACACACAAAGCTCTCCCGTATAGCCTTAACAGACTGTTGGGGCAAGTGCTGTTTAGTAGCGAGTACCAGCAGCTATGAAGGCTGGCACTGTGGCACATGAGGGGGTGGGTGGCCAGCACCACGCCCGACCGCCTTTGTCTCCCCAGTGGTGATGTTTTCACACCACATCAGGTACTCATTTAAGGCTAGGACCGGTTTAGATAATCGTCACTGGTGTTGATGTGAGCGGGAATCGAACTCGGTTCACCAGGTTCGTAGCCAAGTGCTAACCACTACACTACTGCTCCCCACTCACACACACAGCACACACGTCACACACACACACAGCACACACACAGCACACACACAGCACACATGTCACACACACAGCACACACGTCACACACACACAGCACACATGTCACACACACACAGCACACATGTCACACACACACAGCACACATGTCACACACACACAGCACACATGTCACACACACACACAGCACACATGTCACACACACACAGCACACATGTCACACACACACAGCACACATGTTACACACACAGCACACACGTCACACACACACAGCACACATGTCACACACACACACGTCACACACACACACACAGCACACACGTCACACACACACACACAGCAGACATGTCACACACAGCACACACGTCACACACACAGCACACACACAGCACACATGTCACACACACACACAGCACACATGTCACACACACACACAGCACACATGTCACACACGTCACACACACACAGCACACACGTCACACACACAGCACACACACAGCACACACACAGCACACGTCACACACACACACAGCACACATGTCACACACAGCACACACACAGCACAATTGTCACACACGCACACGATTCTCTGTCATAGATTGTGAGTGATGGTGGATTGCGAGCGAGTGACACATTGCAAGCAAGGAGGGGTGGCATTGCGAGTGAGCGAGTGAGAGCGACGGATTGCAAGCAAGTGAAAGGAGATTTCAAATGAGTGTGAGAGATTGCGAGCGAGCTGGGAGGGGAGATTGCGAGCGGCAGATCGCGAGCGGGGGATTGCGAGTGGGCGAAAGAGATTTCAAATGAGTGTGAGAGATTGCGAGCGAGCTGGGAGGGGAGATTGCGAGCGGGTGATCGCGAGCGGGTGATTGCGAGCGGGTGATTGCAAGGCTGCTGCTGCTGCTGCTGCTTGTTGTTCACCTTGCGATGGCGCTCGCGGTCGCGCGACTTCTCACGAACCCAGTCGATGGTGTTGAAGTCGGCGTAAGTCCCCACGCCCGGGATCGCCTCCTCCAGGAGGCCCGCGGGGCCCGCACCGAAGCCTGACACGCACGGGCCTAGGGGAGACTCGCAGAGACACCACACAGAGAAACACGGTGAGTCACAGAGACACGCGGTGAGACGCGTCCTTGAAGCCTGACACGCACGGGCCTAGGGGAGACTCGCAGAGACACCACACAGAGACACACGGTGAGTCAGAGAGACACGCGGTGAGACGCGTCCTTGAAGCCTGACACGCACGGGCCTAGGGGAGACTCGCAGAGACACCACACAGAGAAACACGGTGAGTCACAGAGACATGTGGTGAGACACGCCTAGAAGCCTGACACGCACGGGCCTGGCAGAGACACGCGCGAAGACATGCAAAGAAAGCACACAGAGACGCGGAGACATGCGGCGAGACAAGTGGAGACACACAGTGGCACACGGAGATACACGGTGAGCCACGCGGTGAGACACCACCCATTACCTCTATCACTACTCCAATCACTACCATTCTCACCCAACCACTCACCCACCCACCCACCCTCTCACCCACACAAACACCAACTCATCCACCCACTCACCGACCCCCCACCCACCCACGCGCTCACCGTTGGTGATCCCTCCATCGATGATCTCCTCATCGTCGTCGTCGTTGTCCGTGGTACTGAAGGAGACCACGGCCCCCGCCACGTCAATCAGCTCCTCGTCGCTGCTCAGCTGTCTCACCACCCTCTCCTCGTCCACCACCTCATCACGACCACCCACACGGCCACTCATCGCCGCTGCTCACCACCTCGCCATTCACCTGCAGCAGAGTGGGAGACACCATCATCACTGTGACACCATCACCACTGAGACACCACCATCACCACTGAGACACCACCATCACCACTGAGACACCACCATCACCACCATCACCACTGAGACACCATCATCACTAAGACACCATCATCACTAAGACACCATCACCACTGAGACACCACCATCACCACTGAGACACCACCATCACCACTGAGACACCACCATCACCACTGAGACACCACCATCACCACTGAGACATCACCATCACCACTGAGACACCACCATCACCATTGAGACATCATCACCACTGAGACACCATCACCAGAGACACTATCACCAGAGACACCACCACCATCACTGAGACACCAACACCACTGAGACACCATCACCACTGAGACACCATCACCACTGAGACACCATCACCACTGAGACACCATCACTACTGTGACACCACCATCACTGTGACACCATCACCACTGAGACATCACCACTATCAGCACAGAGACGCCACCACCATCACCACTTAATCACCACCATCACCACTGTGACACCATCACCACTGAGACATGACCATCACTGTGACACCATCACCACTGAGACATCACCATCACTGTGACACCATCACCACTGAGACATCATCATCACTGTGACACCATCACCACTGAGACACCACCATCACCACTGAGACACCACCACCACCACTGAGACACCATCACCAGAGACACCACCATGACCAGAAACACCACCATCACCACTGAGACACCACCACCACTTAGACACCATCACCACTGAGACACCATCACTACTGAGACACCATCACCACTGAGACACCATCATCACTGAGACACCATCACCACTGAGACACCACCATCACAACTGAGACACCATCACCACTGAGACACCATCATCACCACTTCATCACCATCACCACTGAGACACCACCATCACCACTGAGACACCATCATCACCACTTGATCACCATCACCACTGAGACACCACCATCACTGAGACACCACCATCACTGAGACACCATCACCACTGAGACACCACCATCACCACTGAGACACCATCATCACTGAGACACCATCACCACTGAGACACCACCATCACCACTGAGACACCACCATCACCACTGAGACACCATCATCACTGAGACATCATCACCACTGAGACACCACCATCACCACTGAGACACCATCACCACTTAATCACCATCACCACTGATACACCACCATCACCACTGAGACACCACCATCACCACTGAGACACCACTATCACCACTTAATCACCATCACCACTTCATCACCATCACTACTGAGACACCATCATCACCACTTCATCACCATCACCACTGAGACACCACCATCACTGAGACACCACCATCACCACTTCATCACCATCAGCACAGAGACGCCACCACCATCACCACTTAATCACCACCATCACCACTGTGACACCATCACCACTGAGACATCACCATCACTGTGACACCATCACCACTGAGACACCATCACCACTGAGACACCATCACCACTGAGACACCATCATCACTGTGACACCATCACCACTGAGACACCATCATCACCACTGAGACACCACCATCACCAATGAGACACCATCACCACTGAGACACCATCATCACTGTGACACCATCACCACTGAGACACCATCACTTAGACACCATCACCACTGAGACACCATCACCACTGAGACACCATCACGAGAGACACCACCATGACCAGAGACACCACCACCACTTAGACACCATCACCACTGAGACACCACCATCACCACTGAGACACCACCATCACCACTGAGACACCATCACCACTGAGACACCATCACCACTGAGACACCATCACTACTGAGACACCATCACCACTGACACACCATCACCACTGAGACACCATCATCACTGAGACACCACCACTTCATCACCATCACCACTGAGACACCATCACCACTGAGACACCACCATCACAACTGAGACACCATCACCACTGAGACACCATCACCACTGAGACACCACCATCACAACTGAGACATCATCACCACTTCATCACCATCACCACTGAGACACCACCATCACCATTGAGACACCACCATCACCACTGAGACACCATCACCACTGAGGCACCATCATCACTGAGACACCATCATCACCACTTCATCACCATCACCACTGAGACACCATCATCACTGAGACACCATCACCACTGAGACAGCATCACCACTTAATCACCACTGAGACACCACCATCACCACTGAGACACCACCATCACCACTTAATCACCATCACCACTTCATCACCATCACTACTGAGACACCATCATCACCACTTCATCACCATCACCACTGAGACACCACCATCACCACTGAGACACCATCATCACCACTTCATCACCATCACCACTGAGACACCATCACGAGAGACACCACCATGACCAGAGACACCACCACCACTTAGACACCATCACCACTGAGACACCATCACCACTGAGACACCACCATCACCACTGAGACACCATCACCACTTAATCACCATCACCACTGAGACACCACCATCACCACTGAGACACCATCACCACTGAGACACCACCATCACCACTGAGACACCATCACCACTTAATCACCATCACCACTGAGACACCACCATCACCACTGAGACACCACCATCACCACTTCATCACCACTTCATCACCATCACTACTTAGACACCATCATCACCACTTCATCACCATCACCACTGAGACACCACCATCACTGAGACACCACCATCACCACTTCATCACCATCACCACTGAGACACCACCATCACCACTTCATCACCATCACTACTGAGACACCATCATCACCACTTCATCACCATCACCACTGAGACACCACCATCACTGAGACACCACCATCACCACTTCATCACCATCACCACTGAGACACCACCATCACTGAGACACCACCATCACCACTTCATCACCATCACCACTGAGACACCACCATCATCACCTGGTCACGACCACCCACACGGCCACCCATCGCCGCTGCTCACCACTCCACCATGTCTGAAGCAGCATCACAGTGACACCATCACCAACATTATTGAGACACCATCAGCATCACCACTGAGACATCATCACTGAGACACCATCACACACACACACTGCACTGTCACGGTCTGCTGTGTTAGTACCTGGCCGTGGTGTTGCTGATGGTGCTGATGGTTCTGGTGATGATGTTGATGGTAGTGATGTTGGTGGTGATGATGATGTTGATGGTAGTTATGTTGGTGGTGGTGATGATGTTGATGGTAGTGATGTTGATGGTAGTGATGTTGGAGGAGGTGGTGGTGATGGTATTGGTGATAGTGCTGTTGGTGTTACCGATTGCGTTCCCTCTTCCTCCTATCGCGGGTCACGTGACTTCCCCCGGCACGGCCCCACGTGACTCCTCGTGATCCGGTTCCTCTTCTTTCGTATTCTCCTCATTCGATTCCTCAGCACGGGTTTTCTCTTCAATCGATTCCCGTTTTTTAATTCCTCTTTAATCGATTTCTCTTCATCCGGCTCCTCTTTAATATATTCCTCACAATTCGACCCCTATTATATTGATTCCTGTCATTTGATTCCCCTTCATACGACTCCTCTCCAATAGGATCGCATTCATTCGACTCCTCTATCGACTGCTGCCTTCATATTGATTTAGATTAAAGAAATCGAATTGAAGTCACGTGAGGGGGGGGGCTCGCGAGCTCCGCGTTAATTATTCATGAGCGGTCTCGTGACCACCCCCCCCCCCCCTTAAGTCAGAGCTCGCTCCTGATTGGATCTCTCGCGGTGGGGGGGGGGCTTCATCGGGGAGCGGGCAGCGTTCGGAAACTCCACTTTGCTGCGCAGAAGTTTTTATTTTGCTGTGTCACGTGGGTAGGCGCGGATTAACGCGGATTCGAGAATGAATTCTCGCAAACGCGAATAATGTGAGAAAAAATTACCGAACAGGAGACGTTTCGGACAATGGCCCACTTTAATATTCGCGTATTTCATCTCGATGTGTATAGCAGCCCAGTGGTGGGTCTATGGGCAGTGTTGAGTCTGTGGGCAGTTTTGAGTCTATGGGTGGCAATGTTGAGTCTATGGGTAGTGTTGAGTCTATGGGTGGCAGTGTTGAGCCTATGGGTGGCAGTGTTGAGCCTATGGGTGGCAGTGTTGAGTCTGTGGGCAGTGTTGAGTCTATGGGTGGCAGTGTTGAGTCTATGGGTGGCAGTGTTGAGTCTATGGGTGGAAGTGTTGAGTCTATGGTGCAGTGTTGAGTCTATGGGTGGCAGTGTTGAGTCTATGGGTGGCAGTGTTGAGCCTATGGGTGGCAGTGTTGAGTCTATGGTGCAGTGTTGAGTCTATGGGTGGCAGTGTTGAGTCTATGGGTGGCAGTGTTGAGTCTATGAGCAGTGTTGAGTCTATGGGTGGCAGTGTTGAGTCTATGGTGCAGTGTTGAGTCTGTGGGTGGCAGTGTTGAGTCTATGGGCAGTGTTGAGTCTAGGCAATGTTGAGTCTATGGGTGGCAGTGTTGAGTCTATGGGTGGCAGTGTTGAGTCTATGGGTGGCAGTGTTGAGTCTATGAGCAGTGTTGAATCTATGGGTGGCAGTGTTGAGTCTATGGTGCAGTATTGAGTCTATGGGTGGCAGTGTTGAGTCTATGGGTGGCAGTGTTGAGTCTATGAGCAGTGTTGAGTCTATGGGTGGCAGTGTTGAGTCTATGGTGCAGTGTTGAGTCTATGGGTGGCAGTGTTGAGTCTATGGGTGGCAGTGTTGAGTCTATGAGCAGTGTTGAGTCTATGGGTGGCAGTGTTGAGTCTATGGGCAGTGTTGAGTCTAGGCAATGTTGAGTCTATGGGCAGTGTTTAGTCTGTGAGCAGTGTTGAGTCAATGGGCATTGTGAGTCTATGTGCAGAATTTAGTCTATGGGTGGCAGTGTTGAGTCTATGGGTGGCAGTGTTGAGTCTATGGGTGGCAGTGTTGAGTATGTGGGCAGTGTTGAGTCTATGGGCATTGTGAGTCTGTGGGCAGTGTTGAGTCAAAGGACTGATAACCCCTCCACATTCAATTTAATTGCCACAAGAATACGTGGAAAATATGGAACTAATCTTTTGTCAGAGGCCCCAGGGGGGCAGGTGTCTATGACGTTTCTTGGCCAAACCCCACTTGGCAGAGTCAGGAGGCTGAACCCGTACCCATAGGGTTCCTCCAGAAACGGCAAAAAACTACTGCGAGAGGCCACGTTTCAATGTTCACTGCGGAGGAGAGGCTGCCACTCCTCTGTCAGAAGCTGTCCTGTTACTGCCTGGATCTTTGTGGTATTCAGGAGGTCCAGTGGACAGTTTCTAGCTCCAGTCACCATGAGGAGTATACACTCCTCTACTCAGGGCAGGAGACTGTTAAACAAAAGGGAGTGGCTCTTCATTCTGAACAAAATAATGAAGGGGGCGTGGGAGTGTGGCAGTGAGGTGTGGGAAGCCGGAAGTCCCAGGCTACTGTGGGCTCGCCCACCACATCAACAAGAGGCGAGGAAAGGTGGTGATGGTGGTTGGTTACACCCCCAAATAAAAGGAATATTAGTGGAGGGATGCAGACAAGGCCGATGAGTGAGATGCCTTCTATGACCTCCTGTCACAGGTGCTAGCTCAAGTGGCCCCTCGGGATAGAGTCATCTTGTTGGGTGACTTTCATGCCAGAGTCGGTCATGACACTGGCACCTGGGCTGCAGTGATTGGAAGGCATGGGCCAGATCAGCTCAATAACAACGGTAATTACCAACACTGTTCCGGCACTGGTGCATCCATACATCATGAATGCACGCCCGGCCAAATGAAGAACATCTGCTGGACTACATAGTGATAGAACAGCGGATGCGGGCCGATGTTCTTGACACCAGGATCTACCGTGGAGCTGATCTTTTTGCTTGTCATCTGGAAGATGCACATGCCATTCTTCCACTCCGGTGGTCAGCGAACCTTCGACACTTCACGTAGCCTCAAAGTGCACCTGGCCTGGCACAGGCGCTCTGGTGACGTCACCGTCACATAGTGCCGAAAGGCAGATCATGGTGTCTCTGTGTGCATCTCTCCGTGTGTGTCTGTGTGTGTCTGGAGCATTGCGGTGGTGAGATGTTATCTCCCTCGCCTGGTATGCAGGAGTTCGTGGGTTCGATCCTGATCCCGATTCTGACGATGCCCACTGTATATTTTGAGTTTGCGTCTCTCTCTGTCTCCACGTGGTAGATTTTTCTCCAGGTCCCCTGGTTTTTCCCCGCCACTTTTAGAATTAACTTCACGCGTTTAGAATATTTGGCTGCTGTAATAAATGTCAACGTGATAAGCCACTTTGTTGAGCTATCATTTATGATAGCCAGGTCACCCTGAAAAATAACTACATAGCTCAGTGGGCCGTAGACGGTCAAATAAATAAATAAAAGTTAAGTTTTTAGTTTCGATAATGTTTGGTTATCTTGACACAGCTGCGGACCATTCATTTCCGTACCCAAGCCGACTCTCAATGCCGCATTGCATTGCAACTCCGAGGTCAGATCGACCCGACTGGACACCTGTTAGTAAAGAGCTTCAGAGCTCATCGGATTTCTCCTGCAGTCTAAATAAAGATTCTGATTGTGGCCTCAAGTCGTCTCAATTAAAACCCTTTTGTTCATTTATTTATTTTAAAATGTTATGCAACCACAACAACGCATGCACTGTCATATACACAACACAAGGAGCTGGTCCAATAAGCAACCCTCAACTGGGCAGTTGGAGGTAGTCGCCCTCCAACAACAACGGAGGGCAGAGGAGCGACGCTCATAACAACGAGCGGAGCACCGGGTGGCTAAAGCACAGCAGATTGGCACAGTAGGGGGCACAGGTGGTGAATCAGCCAGTCATCTCAGTCAGTCGACCCGTGGCACCTGGGTCTGCCCCGTGACCTCCTGTCAGCGGGCGTTCGACACTTCACGTGGCCTCAAGGTGCACATGGCCTGGCACAAGCGTCGTGGTGACGTCACCGCCACTTAGTGGTGAATGGCGGTTGTTGTTGTGTCTCTCTGCGTGTGTCTGTGTGTCTCTCTGTGTGTGTCTGTGTGTCTCTCTGTGTGTGTCTGTGTGTCTCTCTGCGTGTGTCTGTGTGTCTCTCTGCGTGTGTCTGTGTCTCTCTCTGTGTGTGTCTGTGTGTCTCTCTGCGTGTGTCTGTGTGTCTCTCTGTGTGTGTCTGTGTGTCTCTCTGCGTGTGTCTGTGTCTCTCTCTGTGTGTGTCTGTGTGTCTCTCTGCGTGTGTCTGTGTGTCTCTCTGTGTGTATCTGTGTGTCTCTCTGCGTGTGTCTGTGTGTCTCTCTGCGTGTGTCTGTGTGTCTCTCTGTGTGTGTCTGTGTCTCTTTGCGTGTGTCTGTGTCTCTTTGCGTGTGTCTGTGTGTCTCTCTGCGTGTGTCTGTGTGTCTCTCTGCGTGTGTCTGTGTGTCTCTCTGGGTGTGTCTGTGTGTCTCTCTGCGTGTGTCTGTGTGTCTCTCTGCGTGTCTCTGTGTGTCTCTCTGCGTGTGTCTGTGTGTCTCTCTGCGTGTGTCTGTGTCTCTTTGCGTGTGTCTGTGTGTCTCTCTGTGTGTATCTGTGTGTCTCTCTGCGTGTGTCTGTGTCTCTCTGTGTGTGTCTGTGTGTCTCTCTGCGTGTGTCTGTGTGTCTCTCTGCGTGTGTCTGTGTGTCTCTCTGCGTTTGTCTGTGTGTCTCTCTGCGTGTGTCTGTGTGTCTCTCTGCGTTTGTCTGTGTGTCTCTCTGCGTGTGTCTCTCTGCGTGTGTCTGTGTGTCTCTCTGCGTGTGTCTGTGTATCTCTCTGCGTGTGTCTGTGTGTCTCTCTGTGTGTATCTGTGTGTCTCTCTGCGTGTGTCTGTGTCTCTCTGCGTGTGTCTGTGTGTGTCTCTGCGTGTGTCTGTGTGTCTCTCTGCGTGTGTCTGTGTGTCTCTCTGCGTTTGTCTGTGTGTCTCTCTGCGTGTGTCTGTGTGTCTCTCTGCGTTTGTCTGTGTGTCTCTCTGCGTGTGTCTCTCTGCGTGTGTCTGTGTGTCTCTCTGCGTGTGTCTGTGTATCTCTCTGCGTGTGTCTGTGTGTCTCTCTGTGTGTATCTGTGTATCTCCTCTGTGTGTGTGTCTGTGTGTCTCTCTGCGTGTGTCTGTGTCTCTCTGCGTGTGTCTGTGTGTCTCTCTGTGTCTGTGTCCCTCTCTCTCTCTCTGCAACCACAACAACGCATGCATTGTCAAATACACAACTCATTTGCTAAACGATGGAACCACAAGGCTCTGGTCCATAAGCAACCCTCAAGGCGATTGTTGCAGGCCAATTAATGTCAATGGC